CCCCTGCTTTCCCCTCTGCTGGGCCCCGGCCCGCGGCGCGGCTCCCTCAACCTGCCTTCGCGCCTCCCACGCTCGTGGCGCCGGCTCAGCGAGCCGCCCATGCGGGCCGTGAGGCCCAGGCTGCGCCAGTCCTTCCAGAGGCCTCTGAGTCCCGGGGCTTGGCCTGCGGCAGTGGCCGCCGCTGCGGCTGCCCCCGAGCTCCGGGAGAGCCCGCAGGAATCCGAGGACTCCGAAGTACCCTGGACGGTGCCCCCGCTGGTCCCCAGCTGGGACATGGACATGCCTCCCAGCCAGCGCCCATCCTCACCTTGGCCAGGACGCGCAGGCAGCCGCCAGGGCTTTTCCAGACCACCCCCTATACCGGAAAACCCCTTTCTCCAGCACGTTGGCCCTGTGCCGTCCCCTGACCCCCAGCTGGAGGACCCAGCCTCTGACTTGACCAGTGTCTTCCTGGGCACACACCATGACCTGGGGCCTGGAGAGCTGGCCAAATCGGCCAGCCCCAGCCCTGAGAAGCCCAAAGAAGAGTCGCACCCTGGGAACCCATGGCCACCAGCAAAGCCTGAGCCCCCAAACCCAAAGCCCCCCAAGGACTCTCCCCGAGAGCAGAAGATGCTAAGGCTCAGCCTCTCCCACCCTCTGGCTGCATATGACAGGATGAGGGCCACATGGCCACCACGGCGCCGCTGGGGAACACTACCCAGTGCCCCAGCCCCCTTGGAGTCCACTGGGGCTCCAGGGCTGCTGCCCAAGGCAGGTGAGCAGCGCAAGGCAGGTCCTGGGCGTCTGGCTGTAGTCCTGCCTCAGGTGCAGAAGCTGAGCTCTTCCCAGCAAGTTAGTTCTGCCACCCTGCAGCCCCCCACCCAGCCGACTGAAGACCCAGAACCCAGCCTTAAGATGAGAACCTGGAGTGTGCTCTGGTCCTGCCTCTGGCTCCCAGCGGAGACCCACCGACGCTGGCCACGAGTACATGCCTTCCCCCCATCCTGCTTCCTGGGCTCTGAAGCTGCCTATCTGCCCCATGGGGGCCCCTGGGAAGGGGTTGGCCCCAAAAGCTGGTGGAACAAGGTATGGGGGCACAGGTTAGAGGGAGGGCTTGGCGGTTCTGTCCTGGGAAACAGGGCTGGAGACAGCCTTAGGACCCTGATGAGCTGCTGCCTTATTGGGTCTCAGACTTCCTATCTGAAACGTGGGGAGAACAACCCCAGGCTCCGCAAACCTATGAAGGATTGAACAAGGGATGCCCAGCACAGACAGGCACAGAACAGAGGCACCAGAAACTCTTTCCAAATCACTTTGGGAAAGGGATCTTGTCCTAGCGTGGGCTCTGAGCAGCCCTGGCCTAGTCCAGCCTGTATGGCACGTCCATCCCCAGCTGTTCTCAGAGATTTGGGCTGAGTACAAAACTTCAGGACTTGTCTGTCCACCCTGACCCACCCTGTTCTACCCTGTCCCACCCCACATTCACATTCATACTGTTCGTTTTCCTTCCTCCTGACCCTTCCTCCAATTAGAGTCTTCTCTCTCTCTGGGGTTCCTGCTTAAGGGCAGTCCCCTGGGCTGCAGGATTTTGGACTATCTGAGGTGAGGGGGCTTAGGAACCAAACTTCCAGCCTCTTCATTGCACAGTGGGGCAACCAAACTCTAGAAGGTCACACAGTAGATCAGGGCTGAGCCAGAATTCTTCCCCAGTCTGGCCACCTGTGGGGTGAGGGGCAGGCAGCTTTCTGAGGGGTGCCAAGCCCATGCCTGGCTGCCATGCTTGCGGTGGAATGTGAGCCCCGGTGGCTGTCAGCGAAGGGGGAGTGGTCACCGGAGCCTCCCCTGGGGTGCCTGGGGTGGGCGGGGCACAGGCAGCAGGCCGTTCTCAGCCTATGCAGACCGGTGCCCCTGGAGCGGGCAGCCAGCTAGCCCAGCAATGGCGACCGGGGCAGCCTGGCTGCTGGGGGGGCCCTGGCCCCGGCGGCGGGTGCCCAGAGCCGTGTGGGCCACAGCATTGCGGAAGCGGGCCACAGGGCGCCCTGGGGTGAGGGGCAAGGATGCCTGGGCACTCCTCACCCTCGAATACGTGAGTGGCTGAATTATTCAGGGTTTGCGGCCACTGGCACACATGGGCAGACTGGTGGGCGGGAGGCCAGGGCCCCAGGGTGATACTCCCTGTGGCCTACTTAGCACTCAGAGCTCCCTCCTGGTGTCCCCTTTCCTCACCTGCTCAGGGAGGGGTATGGGCTGGATCTAAGAGGCTGTACAGGCGAGGTGCACATGTGTGCCTCTGTGCTGGGACGTGTGCTGGGTGGGCCACAGCCAGGCAAGGAAAGCATGTGTGTGGCCCAAGGTCTAAGCAGCTGTAGCATTCATGGGTCCCGTGTGTGCACAGCCAAGCTCAGCAGAGATCTTGCAGTCCGAACGTGGCATCAGGACTTTTGTCTCAGGATCCTCAGGTGTGGGGACAGCCCCAGGTGTCCATGTGCACGAGACTGTGTTAAATGGACATGGAGAGCATGTGCCTCCAGTCAGGCACCACAGGCCTTCACACATGTCAGCAGACATCTTGCAAGACCCCAGGTGTGCGTGGGAGTTGTCTGACCTGTAAATGCTGTTGCGTGTGGGTCTGTGCACATGGGTCTACATGTTTGCTCGGCCTACGCACCAGGGTACAGCACTGAGTGGGATAGCCCTTCTTGGTCTTGGTCTTCCTGGAGGCCCCTTGCACCAAGATACAAATGGTTCAAGTTGTCACATGAGCGAAGACTTGGGGTCCACCCTGGAAAAGGGTGTCAGCACTGGGTTGTGGGGGGTTGGGAGGGAAGTCAGTGGGAGCAGTGCCCATGTGCAGCACTTGGGAGCACATGGGAACGCCCGGGCAGAGGGCAGCTGTGTGTCCCTGAGGAAGGCTTCATGGCCCCTGGCGTTCCAAGGCAAGGAGGCCCACAGGACCCACCTGGCTGTGTTTAGGGTTCCCTCTTTCACAACAGGAGCAGATCCCAGTGTGTCCAAGCTAGGGAGCCATGCGTAGGCACCCTCTAATAGGTGACCAGAGGACTTTCTCCCACAGATGCACTCCATCCGCAACCTGCCATCCACTCGGTTCCTGGAGCAGCACCGGGAGGATGGTGTGGAGGACATGACACAGCTGGAGTGAGTGGGCAGGGTGGCAGGTTCAATGAGGGGTCACTGGGGAATGGCCACACTCCCAGCCAGAGCACCTCCTCCTAACAGGGATGCCTCTCACCTCCTGGAACATTTTCAGAGCCTTGGTTTCCTCATCTGCAAAACAAGGGCATACAGTGTCACAAAAGCCAGCTGTGTGTCCAGCACAGCTCTGCACATCAGATGGGCCTGGGTTCAAATCCCAGCCCCACCACTTACCAGTTGGAGCACCGTGGGCAAATCACTTCATTTCTGTGTGCCTCAGTTTCTCAACTATAGGATGGGGATGGGATGGCTGTTATGAGTGTGCTGGCACATTGGAGGTGCTCAAAATGTGAGGGCTGTGCATCCAATTATGGTGACTCAACCCTCACAACTGCTACCTAAGAGCATCCCCAGCCCAGTGAGTGCAGTAGGGACAGTGATTATCATACCCACTGGGCAGATGAAGAAACTGAGGCATCAGGAGGTTAAGCAACTTCCCAAGTCCTCACAGTGTCAGAGATAGGACTTTCTGGCCAGGCCCTGCACTGGGGGGAAGTGGACCCTGACTGCCCTTCCTGCTCTCCCAGAGACCTCCAAGAGACCACTGTGCTGTCCAATCTCAAGACCAGATTTGAACGGAACATCATTTACGTGAGTCCTGGGGTGGCTCTGCCCTAGGCAAGGGTCTGGCAGGCAGCTTCCTCCTTGTTTCCTGGGGCCCCAGTGGGAAGCACAGGTTTCTCCTGCTGGGCCCTAGACTAGTGGCCTCTGGTTTTAACTTTGAGGTTTCTACTATTTGAGCCTGAGGCTCGGACATCCAAGGCCCTAAACATAGAGTCTTAGAGCAGGGAGTGCCAGGAGCAGAGACCTGGAGACAGGGAGCCCAATGAATAAAGCTTCCCGAGTCCTAGAATCCAGAGACCTGGGTCCCAGGAGTGGAGCAGCCAAGGGGAGGACGGGAGCCACTGATCACAGAATGACAGAACAGAGGCCCAGGACCACAGTGCAGGCATCAGGGTCACCCTGAAGGGCTCTGGTCACCTCAAAATCCCCTATCCTCCCAACCCCTTGCCCCCTCCAGACAGTGGAGGTTTGGTTTTATGATGAGGCAGAAGCTTGGAGCCTGGCCCTGACTATGAATAAGTGAGGTAGGCAGCAGCTGGCACTGGGGGGCTTTCCTCACTCCAGCCTCCGACCATCAAGCCGTTAGAGGGCCCAAGGTTTGAACACTGAGGTCAGGCAGCCAGACATTTGTCCCCATGGAGACAGGGATCCAGGTTCCCAGGGGCAGGGGAGGGACACACAGGGCTGCAAGGAACCACGGGCACTGAGGCCACTGTCCGCACAACAGACGTATATCGGCAGCATCTTGGTGTCGGTGAACCCATACCGGATGTTTGGAATCTACGGGCTGGAGCAGGTGCAGCAGTACAGTGGGCGGGCCCTGGGAGAGAATCCTCCGTGAGTACTTCCTGGACTGGGGAAGGGAACTGTGCTGGGCTCTCCTGAGTCTCTGTCTGAGCTTGGTGAGCCTCTGGCTGCCCCTCAGTCATAGGTTGGGGCTGGTGGCAGTTGGCAGTCCACCTGCTCAGCCCAACAATATTTCCCCAAGCCCTGGCCATAGCCCCTACTGGGGCTGCGGCCACTGGGGCTCAGACCGTGATGGGGAACATTTCCCCAAGAATGAGGGGTGGAGCAGGATTGCCTGCTTGACTGGACAGAGATGCCACTCCACCTGCCTTCTGGGAGGTTTGGAAGCACAGAAGAAGGTCCATAGTAGTGCTCCCTGTGGCCTGTCTCTCCAGGCATCTCTTTGCAATTGCAAACCTTGCCTTCGCCAAAATGCTTGATGCCAAACAGAACCAGTGCATAATTATCAGGTGAGCAGCAGGTCAGGCTGGGTACCTTAGTGCATGTGTGGAGGGGAAATATGGGGGGACCTCAGGCAACAGGTCTGCCTCAGACAGACTGCTGTGGGTCCTGGGAAAATCACTCAGCTTCTCTAGGCCAGCTGGCCTGCCCATGTCCTCTTGCAGCATGGCAAGGTATAGGGAGCCTTGGAGAGGCAGTGAGCTGGTTGAAGCTTACTCTGTTCCTTTGCCTGGTCAGTGGCGAGAGCGGCTCTGGAAAAACTGAGGCCACAAAGCTGATTCTACGCTACCTGACCACCGTAAACCAAAAGCGGGGCATCATGCAGCAGGTAAGTCTGTCTTCCCAGGGTCCTTAACTGAGCACCCCTTGTGTTCCCCAAGAGGTGAGACTTCTTGGCTCCACTTGGAGGTTGGGGAGGCCAGGCCTAGGGTTGCACCAAGAGTGCTCTTAGGACTTGGAGCTCTCTCTCCCCTCCCAGGTAGAGTCTGTGGGGACCTCCTTTCTGCATCCATGCAGCTCCAGGTTCTACCCCTCCTGGGCCTGGCTGGAGGAGAGGCCACATGGGCAAGGGGAGTCACTCTACTCCTGCCTGGCCTCGCCTTCCTGGTATGGCGCTCAGTCGTTNCCATGCAGCTCCAGGTTCTACCCCTCCTGGGCCTGGCTGGAGGAGAGGCCACATGGGCAAGGGGAGTCACTCTACTCCTGCCTGGCCTCGCCTTCCTGGTATGGTGCTCAGTCGTGAAAGAGGCAGGAGAGGCCTGAATGTGGGGCAGGTCCATGGGGGTGTGGGCCTCTAGATGCTGGGACACTGAGGAGGCCAGGCCAGAGTCTGCAGGATTGGAGGTCTGCTCAGAATGCAAACCCTGTGAACCTAAGAACGTTAGAGGTTTTCTGAGGACCTGTGTGCCTGGCCTGAGCTGGGCTCTGGGGAGGCAGGCAGCAGCAACACAGCCTGACTAATGTTCCCACCTTTGTGGAGGAAACAAAAAGAAAAGTCATACACCAGTGAATTATGTATCTGTGGAAGGGTGGTAAGTTGTGGAGAAAGATGTAGGGAGGGGGATGGGGAGTGCTGGGGTTTGTAATCTGAAGTGTGGTAGTCAGGGTGGGCTTTGCTAAGAGGCAAGGAATGGGCCAGAGGATGTCTGGGGGAAGAGCAGACAGGCAGCGGGAAAAGCAAGTGCAAAGGCCCTGGGGCGTAAACAGGTCTGGTGTGCTCAGGAGATAGCAGAGTGGCTGCATGGAGTCCAGGTGAGGGAGGGCGGTGGCTCAGGCCAAGGAAGTAGACCCCAGTGCAGTTCAGAGTCCAGCCAGCAACTTACTGAGGGACCAGATAAGGTTGTAATGGGGGGGACAGTCTAAGGGCAACCAGAGGCATTTGGCCTGAGCCACAGTGAGTACAACGCTGCCATCAGCTGGGTGAGCAAGGCTGAAGAGAGAAGACAATGGTGACCTTGAGGTGTCTGCTGGGCATCCACACAGAGATGGTGGGGAGGAAATGATGCACCTGAGCGTGGAGGTGAGGGAAGGTGGGGCTGGAGGCAAAGGTCCACCAACTCAGAACCTGACTCTCAGACTCTCCACTCTGGGCCCATAAAGGTTTGTAAATGGTCATGTGACCCAGCCAATGGCAATCTCAGCAGGTGATCTTGGGGGCATCAGGCGGGGGCTGCTCAGCCCTCAGGTGGGAGTGGATTGGCCCAGGCTTTTGTTACTTCCTGGTGGGCTCCTCTGTTGCTTACCTGGATGTTGCAGCCCTTCCCATTAGCCTGAGTCTCCAGGCAAGGTTTTCAAAACCTGTAAGCTTATACTCCTGGAAGGATTGGCTAGGCAGGCAAGCAGATGTGTATGTGGCGCCCCTCCCATGAGCAGTGCCTTCAGTCATATCCCTCCAGAGCCTCACGGGCAGCCTGGGACAGGTACACTGGGGTCCACTCATGGATGGGGAAACTGAGGCCTGGGAGGGAGATGACTTACCCAGTGTCCCAAAGTGAGAGGATAGAGGCACTGGGATTGGAAGTTTACGGCAGAGGCCATCTTGGCAGGATTTCGGGGGATAGTTGGAGTTGTGGGACATGGCAGGTCTACGAGTTTCTATGCCCAGCTTGTGAGTATGTGCCTGCCAGCCGCTGGGACAACTGAGGGTTTATTTCATAGCCACTACTCATCCCTGCTCATGTAATCAGGCCAGATTTAGGGTCAGTTTTAGGCATGGCAGAATCCAAGGTCTTAAACAATGTCCCTTGTCCTGGCTCCACCCCCTCCCATGTATGGGCATCATCCTCAACCAGTCTCCCATTGGGCAGCAAGATGGTGCTGCGAACCACAACCCACACCTCTCAACAGGCCAAAAAAGTTCTCAGGCCTCTCTCTCATTGGGCTGGTTTTAGCCTTGTGCCCTCACTGGACCCAGTCACACTTTGGCTAAGGCCTGGGCCACAGGGCTGAGAATATGACAAGGGTTCCCCAAGGTGGGGACTGGCTGGACCCTCTGCTCCCCAAACCATAGGCACCACTCCATCTGGGGGCTGGGCTGATGGCACCACAGGACCAGATGTTAACCCACCTGACTCACCTGTCCTTTCCCCTGGCCCCGTGCCCCAGACCTGCAGTGGGCACTAGGGACAGAGAAGCAGCTTACCCACCCCTCAGGTGCCCTCAAGGAACTCCCAGACTGAGGGATAGTACAGGCCACAGTCCAGGCAGACCTTGACTCGCTGAGCTACCCCAGGCTGGCCCCTGCTCCTTTCTGGGCCTCAGTCTACTCCTCTGTACAATGGGCACAGTATTTCTTGGATTAAACAAGATCATGGGAATGACCAGATGGAGGGGACAGGCACTTTCCCCAAGCTAACAGGTATTATTTCTACAGACACTGGGCTTCTCCTGCCTCTCCCTTAAGAGTTTATCCTGAGAAGATGAGTTAGCAAGAGAACACTGCATACACAACTACGTACACACTGATTATGGTGCTGTGCTCTCACTCTTACGGACACGTTACCTCACCTCTCCAAGTCTCAGTTTTCTAATCTGTAAAGTGGGTGATATTTGGGCCTACTTTATAGGAATGCTAATTAGCCAAAGAATCCAGTGCATAGTAGGTGCTTAATAAGTGGGAGCTGTGATTAGCTGTGCCCTGGGCAGCTCTGCTCTCATAAAATACGATTCCTCATTTCATCTCTTTAGCAGAGATTTGTTGAGGGCCTCCTGTGCACCAAGTCCTGTGTAGATGCTGGGCCCCAGAGGTATGCAGAAAGACAGATTCCTCCTGTAGAGGCAGACATTTTAGTGGAGGTAGGCATACAAAGAAACGAGAGAATTTGCCAATGGTGCTAAGAGCTCCAGAGGGAGAGAATTCTGGTGCTCAGAGGCAGGAGTGCACCTGGGTGTGGAGGCCACAGTCAGGAGGGCCATGGTGCTGGGCAGAGCCAGGGAGGGGAGATGAGGCCAGCAGGGGTTGTGCTGTGTAGGGCCTTGGAGATCACAGTGAGGTCTTGGCTTTGAGCCTGAGTGAGGTGGGAGAACGTGACCTATGCAGGTTTTCAAGGAACCCCTGGAAGGAGCACAGGCAGGGTCAGGGAGAAGGGTCTTCCAGGAGCCAGGTGATCCATGACTATGAGGGGGGGAGAAGAGGACATCCCAGAGCCTTTCAGGGGTAGATCTAGCAGACACCCACACCTAGGGCCACACTGCAGTCCCCAAGCCCAGACACCTGGGGTCTCTGAGGCCCATGGCCTTACCTGGTGGTTCTCCTGCCTGCCACGGGCCCAAAGGGATCTGACAGTCCCTCCATGGTCGGAGGTCCCTGGTGGTGCGGGGGGAGAGGTGGTCAGGCCTACGGGTGACCTTCTTCTGTTCTTGTTCCCCTCTCCTTCTCCTCCCTGCTGACTGCTCCTGAAGATAAAGGTATTTGGAGTGTGTGTGTACACATGCTCATGCCCCTGTGAGTGCATGTGTGGGTGTGGACAGTGGCAGGATTGGCAGGAAGTAGTATCTAACAGCCTGTCCTGACTGGGGGCTGCCTTGTGAGAGGCTGGGGCTGGAAGAGGGGGACCTGGGGTCCGTGTGTAGGGATTGGGCTACATGAGGTGGGGGCATTGAGGGGACCCTGGGATTCTCTAGGGAGCCAACTCTGGTTGCCCCTCGCAAAGTGTGTCCTAGGGGAAGTCTGTGTCTTGGAAAGCCTGGGGTGGCCCTGGCCATGCTCCTCACTCTAGGCCACCAGAATAATTTCCACATCTTCTGGGGTCCAGATCCTGGAGGCAACGCCCCTCTTGGAGTCCTTTGGTAACGCCAAAACTGTCAGGAATGACAATTCCAGCCGCTTCGGGAAGTTTGTGGAGATCTTTCTGGAAGGGTGAGTGGGACAGTGGAGGAGCCCCCAAAGACCTTGCAGTGCACTCCAGTCCTGGCACAGCCCCTCAGAGCCAACACCAGCCCCCATTGCCCTGCCTACTGACTGCCCAGGCTTGAGTTGACTGTGCTCCTTACCCCAGGGGCGTGATCTCTGGTGCCATAACCTCCCAGTACCTGCTCGAGAAATCCAGGATTGTGTTTCAGGTGGGCCAGGCCCTTCAAGGCCCTTGTGTGTTGGGACATGGGACAGGGTCGGGGTGTGGGTGTATACTCAGTGCCTGGCACCTGGCCAGGCTGGGTAAATGTTGAATTAATGAAGCAATAGATGTGTATGTGTGAGTATGTGACCCAATCTCCTCCCCTCCTCCATGCCCTACAGCCACTTTGGCTCTTCCCTGTCCCTCAAGCACACCAGGCATGATCCTGCCTCAGGACCTTTGCACTTACTATTCCTACTACCTGGAGCACTCTTCCCCAGACACCTGTATGGCCAAAGCCTTCACCTCCTCCAGGTCTTCCCTGAAATGTCACCTGTGCAGGAAAGCTATCCCATTTAAAAATGAACTCCCCACCCCCTTCACGGCTTTATTTTTCCCAGAGCACTTCTCACCACCTGATGTATTTTATGTTTCAACCAGTGATTTGCTGAGTATCTGTCTCCCCAGCTAGCAGGTGGGATCCATGAGGCCAGGGACTTCTGTCTCCATTGTTCCCCACTGTGTCCCAAGGGCCTGAAAACAGGGCCAGGCCCATAGTAGGTGCTCAGCCACCCTGGTTAATGAGCCAGCAGGAAGCCTGTGTCTGCTCTATGGACAGGAGTGTGCATAGGCGTGTGTAGCCCATACACATGTGAGAACGGCCACCTCTCTCATTAAATGCTCATTAAGTGCAGGGCTTCTCCACTCCCTCTCCCTATTCCCAGCCAGAACCAAGCTGGGAGCTCACTCAGCACAGAGGTGACAGGTCTCACCTGTAGGCCTGTGTGTGTATTTATATTTATGGGCATACCTGGGCCTGTATGTGTGTGGGGGTCACCTAGGTGGATGGCTCCCCTCGCACCCACACACCCGCTCTGCAGGCCAAAAACGAGAGGAACTACCACATCTTCTACGAGCTGCTGGCTGGGTTGCCTGCCCAGCTCCGGCAGGCCTTCAGCCTGCAGGAGGCTGAGACCTACTACTACCTGAACCAGGTGAGCACCAGCAGGCACCCAACAGTCCCCTGCCCCATCACCCCAGTGGGCTGAGAGAGCCAAGTTGTGTTCTGATGGCCAGCAAAGATGATGGAGCTTTGGGAGGGCAAGTTTGGATGTGAGGTGTCTCATCGTGGCACTTAAACAGGGGTCAAATCTGGGGTAGAGGAGGCCTACATGAGTCTCCACTTTTCTAGAGACTGCAACAGAACTAAGCAGCCTGGAGCTACTATACTTCCCCTCTAGTGCCTCAGTTTCCTTATCTGTAAAATGGGGATAGCACGGTACTACTTTCCAGGGATGTGGTGAGGATTAAAGGAAGGAAATATATAGTACCTGCTCAGAGCCTCCTGGCCCGTGGGGATGAAATGAGTGCTGAGTGGCTGGCTTGGGCCATGCTGCAGGTCCAGACAGAGCAGGGTCCTTAAGGGCTCCCAGCCCCACCCAGGGTCCCTGACACCTGGGTCTGCCCTTGCCTAGGGTGGGAACTGTGAGATCTCAGGGAAGAGTGATGCAGACGACTTCCGCCGGCTCCTTGCTGCCATGGAGGTGCTGGGCTTCAGTGGGGAGGACCAGGACAGCATCTTCCGTATCCTGGCCTCCATCCTGCACCTGGGCAATGTCTACTTTGAGAAGTATGAGGTGAGAGAATGTCACAGCCTGCCATGGGGCCTCGGGAACCTTGGGACACAGGCATCTCTTCAGAGGCCTAGGAACCATTTATATTTGCCTTTCAGGTTACATCATACACATATTGTTAGTTCTTTATTCCCCCACTTTGGAGTTCACCTTTGTCTTGATGTATGAGAGCTCTTTACATATGTTAAGGACGTAAGCCCTGTTTCTTTGATATGAATTGTAATTATGTCTTCTGGTTTATCATTTATATTTTGACTTTATTTCCAGGTATTTTGGTGTTTGGGTTTTGGCCATATAGATTTTTAAAAATATTTTCAGGTACTTCATTAATCAATCTTTTCTTGTATAAATTTTAGCATTTTTATCATTTTTAGAGAGACCTATCTCTCTTAAAACAGCTTTCTCCCATAATTTTTTCAAGATCTTTTATGGTTTTCATGTTTTGTTTTTTTCACATTTAAATCGTTGGTCCATCAGGAATTTATCATAGTAAGGTGTGAGGTAGGCATCCAATTTCTTTTTTCCTAGGCAGTTACTCAATTATACTAATTCCCCCACTTGAGAGGTACAAATTTGTCATATACTAAATTCCTGTGTACATTTATGACTAATTCCAGACTTCCTATTGTGCTTCATTAATCAATTTACATACTATGTGTCTGTTATCTGTTTAAATTACCATAGCTTTGTAATGTGTTTTACTATCTCCTAGGTTGCCCTGCACTCCTATTTCAGAATTTTCCTGGCTCTTCTAGCTTGTTTATGTTTTTTTTAATGAACTTTAAAATCAGCTTATTTAGCTCAAAACACAGTCCTTTTGGTATTTTACATAGACAGACGCACAGGAGGTGGCCTCAGTGGTTAGCGCCCGGGAGATCCAAGCCGTGGCAGAGCTGCTGCAGATCTCCCCTGAGGGCCTACAGAAGGCCATCACCTTCAAAGTGACCGTGAGTTTTGTACTGGAGACGCCATCAAAGCCTCCTGCCAGCGCCTGCAATGCTGCTCTGTGCCCCGTCCTGGGGGGGCCCTCTCACCCCCTTTCCATCCACCTTCTGGATTGGGCCCAGAGGGGGTTAACCTCAGACCCCAAAGGCATTAGGTGCCTAATCTCCAGGCCTTTGCATGGGCTGTTTCCTCTGCCTGGAATGCTCCTCCCTTTTCACCCCTACTCCTGATTTGAGACCCAGCACAGCTATCCTCACCTCCAAATGGCTGTTCCTTACCCCTGGCTGGGTTGGTACCTCCTCTTGCCTCCTACAACCCCTGGCCCTTCTTCCCTTCCCACAGCTGACCTCACTGTGTCATGTATGCTTATGCTGTGTCTTTCCCGTTAGACTAGTAGCCCCACCCCGACCAGCACAGTCAGGCAGAAAGGAGGAAAGGGTGTTTTGTTCCACCCCTGGCCTACTGTGTACCTAAGACCAGTCACTCCATTTCCGTTTCCCACCCCACCCCAATCCTCTGGGGACTTCCTGGAGGTGGTGGCCAGCCTGCTGTCACTCAGGGGCCACGTCCCTCCTTAGGAGACAATACGAGAGAAGATCTTCACCCCCCTGACCGTGGAGAGTGCCGTGGATGCCAGGTGAGGCTGCACCCCTTCCTGCCCAAGCCTCCAGATGTCTAGCCCCACACTGTGCACACCCACTCCAATACCATCTCTGCTCCAGGGATGCCATCGCCAAGGTCTTATATGCGCTGCTGTTTGGATGGCTCATCACCAGGGTCAATGCACTGGTATCCCCCCAGCAGGACGCACTGTCCATCGCCATCTTGGACATCTATGGCTTTGAGGTGGGCTTCGTGGGTGGGTAAGGGGCGGGGGGACGTAAGGCTTCATCTCTCTCACATTTCTCTGTCGACAACACAACCATTGTTTGTTCAGTGCCCCCCCTTATTATCATCTCCCTTGTCTTCTACCATTTCCTTTATTCTCCCACAAGCACTCCCTGTGGCCTCTGGGTGCCAGGCCCTGTACTGGGCAACACAAGGGACCCTGGAAAGGACCAGACCTGGGCTTTGCCCTTGGGAAGGTTCCAGGAGGACTGGGTGGGCATGGGGACAGAAGTTGATGAACACACATGGTCAGAGCCGTAACAGAGTCAGCCTGGCCTTGGTGGGGCCTAGGGGAAACCCTTAGCTGGGCAGGGATGAGGGAAGTCTTCCTAGAAAGGGAGGAGACATCCCTGAGCTGTTTCCTGAGGAAGCAGTAAAGGTGGAGGAAATAGCATATGCACATTGCACATGCTGAGAGGTGTGGTGGGGCATGGTGTCTGGAGAGCTGGCATTCATTTGCTGGGGTGGAGAGATGCGACCACAGCACTGTTCTGAGTGCACAGTGAAAGGAATAGTGTGAGATGGCATGATCATAAAAATAAAAGTGACAGCTAATACTCATATGGTACCTACTGCATGCCAGGTACTATTCTAAGTGCTTTATGTTACTAATTCACTTAATCCTCACAGCAGCCTTATGAACGTGGTACGGTCATTATCCCTGTTTCACAGATTGGGAAACTGAGGTACAGTTAGCTTGTTCAAGTCACATAGTTAGAAAGGTTGGAATCCTGGCAGAAGGTTTCAGAGCCTGGGTCTTCAACCACTACCTAAGCTGCCTCTCACTGGAACCTAGATTGTCAGGCTCTCACCTGTGCATAGTGGAAGCCATAGAGGGTTCTGAGCAGGGCACCTGTGGTCAGACTCCAGGCAGAGGGCACTGAGCCTGAGCTGGGGGGTGGGGGGGTGCAGGACCCTGGGAGGGGAGAGATGGGCTGCTGCCAAGGAGGGACTAGGCCCACCCTTACCATCTGCCTGGCAGGACCTGAGCTTCAACAGTTTTGAGCAGCTATGTATCAACTATGCAAACGAGAACCTTCAGTACCTTTTCAACAAGATCATCTTCCAGGAGGAGCAGGTATGCAGGGCCTCCCCCATCCCCATGTTCACTGGCCAGTGGGCCTCCTTAGTGACAGATGAGATATGCTGGTTCTTTAAGGGCAAATCGGAGGTTGTCAGTAGACCAAATGGAAGGAAAGGTATTGTAAGCTGGGGATCAACACATGAGAAGGCCTGGGTTCTGGAGGGGCAGATGTTGGGGTGAGGAGTCCAGGGAAGAGCCCTCTTGGGGGATCCTCTTCACCCTCTGCAGAACTGTCCTAGGTAGAGGGAGGAGAAGGGCCTAGAAATGGTTCATGTTGCTCTGCTAGAAAGTGAGCTCCATGTGCTAGGAGGTATATAAGCAGAGGCGCCCCTGGCCAGGCCCCTTCAGATGGATTCAGCCTAGGAGGCAGGGTGGGTGGAACCTCAACAGAACTAGGTGACTGAGCCCCTGCTGCCTGCAGGAGGAGTACATCCGTGAACAGATCAACTGGCGGGAGATCACCTTTGCTGACAATCAGCCCTGCATCAACCTCATCTCACTGAAGCCTTATGGCATCCTGCGCATCCTTGATGACCAGTGTTGTTTTCCCCAGGTGACCCATGGGCACTGTGTGAGCCTGGTCAGGTTGCTCAAGGTCTGTGAGCCTCTTGTCCTCATCAGGCCTGAGTCCTACATTTCTCTCTGCCCTGGCCTGGGAGGAGGGCTCAGGACACCCAACCTGCCATTCACAACCTGGATAGGGGACTACAAGGATTCAGACAAGGGGCTACACCAGCCTGGGGCGTTCTAGAAGGCTTTATGGAGGAGGTTACCTTGGGGTTGGGCCTCAGATACTTATTGGAAAACACAAGGTTGGGGTGGGTGTTCTGGGCAGTAGGACTAGAGAGTGCAAAGGCAGCTGGGCTGGAGGAGAGGCAACTGGGAAGCTAACCAGACACACTTGTCTGCAGGGGTTCACTGAGGCCTCCCACACAGGGAGCCAGGGGAAGCTGTGACTTGTTCCTCCTCCCCAGTGATCACTGGAGATCAGTCAGGGCTGGAGAATTTGCCACTAAGCCAGGAACAGGGTGCCCAGGCCCCCTGCCCACTCACTAAACCCTGCCTGCCCCCAGGCCACAGACCATACATTTCTGCAAAAGTGCCATTACCACCATGGCGCCAACCCACTCTACTCCAAACCCAAGATGCCATTGCCTGAATTCACCATCAAGCACTACGCAGGCAAAGTCACCTACCAGGTGAGACCCAAGACAGCCCTCAGGGCCTCCAGTGCCCTGATGCTGGAGGCGTAAAAGCACAACATGGGCTCCAGACACTCCCCCCTGGTTCCAGTTCTGGCCCTGCTGACCCTTGGCTATGTAACCTTGGGTGAATCACTTTACCTCTCTGAGCCTGTTTCCTCATCTGGAAAATGGGTATAATAACAGTGTCCATCTATTGGACACTGTTATTATACATGGGTGTGAGAAATCTAGGCCTAGGGTGGATTTCATAAAGAGTGGCTATTATCAGTAATGATTTCATTGGGGTAGCTGTCATCACTGTTATATCAGGCACATTCCTGCCCTGGGGCTGTCTCAGGCCAGGATCCTAAGCCCCTATCCCCCTCTGGGCCGCATTTTCTTCATCTGCAGGACGGGCACAGGCCAGTGTCCTCCACTGAGTATGGGACCGAGCCCCAGACTAGTCATGTGAAGGTGGCTAGTGCCCCCTCCCCTGGGAGTGGGGAGGATAGTGGGGACAGGAGGGGAGGGGACCATAGCAGGGGGATGGGTCCAGTTCTTTCTAGGACAGACGGAGACAGTGTCCTGGAGGTGCAGGGCCAGGGTCACCCAAGGGCTGCAGGGAGGAAGGCAAGAAGACAGTAGTAGGCAGGCTGATGCATATTGGATGGGTTAGCCCTCTACCCTGTGCCCCAGGCTGCATGGGGGGGGGGCTGGTTCCAGCCCCAGCTGCCCTGCCATTCCCCCTTTCTAGGTGCACAAGTTCCTGGACAAGAACCATGACCAGGTGCGCCAGGATGTGCTGGACCTTTTCGTTCGGAGCCGGACACGAGTGAGCAAGCCTCACCTCCCCCTGTTCTGGCCCTGCCCCAGAGCACCCAGCCCACAGTCATGCAGTTCTCCCAGTCCAAGAAATGGGGAGGTACCCTAGCCTGGTCCTGCCTCTGGCTCACCCCAGCCAGGCCCTGATCCCATCCCAACCCTAACCCCATACCCACCCAGCCTTGCCTTGCTCTGTACTTTCTCCCATTCCTGGCCCTGCCCCGTAAAGGCCATGCCCCTGGCTGGCCCCACTGGATTGCTGGGTCTCTCCTTTGGCACATCCTGGCCACACCCACCCAGCCTAGGCCCATCCCCTCTTCCATCTGCTTGATAAGTGGTTCTCCCATTGGCATTCTCTGCCACCTACTCCCTCTCTGGGCCTCCATTTCCTCATCTGTCAAATGGGCATCCTCCTCCTGAGGTCATTGCTAGAGTTCATGACCATGCAGCCAATGTGTTCCCCAGACTGAAATAAGAAGTCAGCCCAACCATGGGGCAGGTCCCTTGGAAGGTACTGAGCACTGACTTGGTTCATGTGCAAGCCAGGAGGACAGTGGCCTGGAAAAGAGGCAGGGGTCCCTTGTGTTAGTTTTCTGGTCCTTCTTGGTCTGGAGACTTGACTCCTTTTGTTCTCTCACTTTCTCTCTCTCCTCTCCATTTCTCTCGGCCCCTACCTCTTCCCCTTGGTACCTTGACTACTGCTCTGGGCCTGCTTCCCATGCTTGCCCAGGTGGTGGCACACCTTTTCTCCAGCCATGCCCCACAGGCTGCCCCTCAACGCCTGGGCAAGAGTAGCTCCATCACCCGACTCTACAAGGCTCACACAGTGGCAGCTAAGTTCCAGCAGTCACTCCTAGATCTGATCGAAAAGATGGAGAGGTGGGTGTGGCAGGTGGGCAGGACTTAGCCTCACCTATGACCCTCAGGGATGAGCACTTTCCTTCTCTGGGGCCTTACACTGCCTTCCTCCCACCCTTGCGCAGGTGTAACCCCTTGTTTGTGCGCTGCCTGAAGCCCAATCACAAGAAGGTACGTGATGGCTGAGGTCCCTGGGAGAGCCACATTCTCTTCCCTATGCTGTATGACCTTGGCCAAATGCTTTTGCCTCTCTGGACCTCCATCTGCCCAGCCCACCATGGGGACTATTTGCCGCTGACAGTGCCCTTTGCGCGTGAGTTGACCCATGTGCAGACTCTACCTGGGCCCTCTCCACAGGAGCCAGGCCTCTTTGAGGCAGATGTGGTCATGGCACAGTTACGCTATTCAGGGGTGCTGGAGACTGTGCGGATTCGCAAGGAGGGCTTTCCAGTGCGGCTGCCTTTCCAGGTGTTCATTGACAGGTACCTCCATCACATGGTTCCTTAGCTCCACAGACCTCTACCCCGCCCACCTTGGTCCCAGGGATACACAACCCAGGCAGAACAGGGCTTGCTATGCACAGTTGCTCAGGTGGTACGCGACACAAGACCACCACGTGTTAGCCGCTATGTGGCGTATAGATTTTTATTGTTTTGCATTTTTTATAGTTTTGTGTTTTTTATAGTTTTATTATGTGTTGATTCCAAAGAGAAACAATTTTAATAGTTATTATCATAAATTCCCAGCAGATGGCAGTAAGGTACCTTAGTCTGCCGAAACCATTTTTACCATTTCCTGGCACCTAAAAAGCAGTAAGCCAAGTTTTGAGGAGAGAGCACCTTTTGCTAATTAGAAGACACTGAGTAGAGCCTCTGCTGGGATCCGGGCGTCCTGGAGACGGGGATAGGGGTGGTGACTCTGATCTAGCGGGCAACTGGGGTAGTAGTTCCCAAAATCCCAGGTTGAATTTGGGACCCTGCAGGTACCGCTGTCTAGTGGCCCTTGAACACAACCTGCCAGCCAGTGGGGACATGTGTGTGTCCGTGCTGAGCCGCCTTTGCACAGTCATGCCAAATATGTACCGCGTTGGCATCAGCAAGGTGAGTTCCACCCCACACTCAGCCCCTGGAGGGCCCAAGTTCAGGGGCTTCAAAACTGAAGCTGTGGAGTCAGAAATGCCCAAGGTAGAGATTACTGTCCCAGAGGAAGTATAGTTGAGCTCGGGAATCGAAACGCTAATCCTACCTCCAGACCTTGCTCAGCAGTTCCTACCACCTAACGGGCCTTCACCCTTTCTTCCCTCTCTCCAAACCCAACCCACCCTCCACCCAGCTCCAGGAGGCTGTCCTGTCCTGTCCTGTCTCCTTAGACTCCTGGAGAGGGAGGGGTCCTGAGTCCAGTTCCCTGGGCCCTACCAGCCTCAGCACTTGTCTCTGTCCTCAGCTCTTCCTTAAGGAACACCTACACCAGCTGTTGGAGAGCATGCGGGAGCACGTCCTGAATCTGGCAGCCCTCACTCTGCAACGCTGCCTTCGTGGCTTCTTCATTCAGCGCCGTTTCTGCTCCCTGCGCCGCAAGATCATCATGCTGCAAAGTCGAGCCCGAGGCTACCTGGCCAGGTGCAGCCCACATAGGGCAGGACTCCCTGGAGCCCTACAGCTAGGCTTGGGAGAGGTTATGCCTGAACTTAGGTAGCAAGCTCCTTGTTCCTGGAGGTATACGAGCTGAGAGTGGGAGCTTCTGCTGGAAGGATGATCAGATTCTCTGTGTTTCTGCTTTTGGATGTCCTTCTGTCCCACCCCCTGGCCCTTGTGACTGGTGGGTGGGAATCCAACCAGCCAAAAGGACCCCACCCTGCATCTCAGGGACCCTGGGATTCCAACGTAATAGGAAGTACATGATCCAAGTGGCTTAATCCAGGCTCTGCCACTTAACTTGCTGTATGACCTTAGGCAAGTTCTTGCCCCCTACTGAGCTCCAGTTTCCTTTGTGCCAAAGGGTCCCAGAGTGAAGTGTGGCACCAGCGCAAGGCTGGCACAGGTACCTCTGTCCCTTGTTTACCCATGACCCAAACCCCTAAGCGTTTCCACCAAGATACTTTCCTCCTACCCCCAGGCAGCGGTATCAGCAGATGAGAAAGAGTCTGGTGAAGTTCCGGTCCCTGGTGAACACGTACACAAGCCACCGGCGCCACCTGAAGGTGCAGGCCTTCTTCTTGCCCTTCTCCCAGGAGCCAGGCCTGTCCTGTCTGGGTCCAGGGAGCGGCAGGGATGGGGAGGAGGCACTTAGCTCCCAGGAGGAAACTGTCTTGGATTCGAATCCCCGCTCTGCCACTCACTAGCTGTGTGGCCTCAGCCCCTCCCCAGCCTTACTTCCCTATCTTCCCCTCGGGGTTGCAGAAAAGGTTAAGTGCATAGTGCACATGAAGGATTTGTCCTGGTGCTGGGTTCACAGTGGGGTCTTCAGGAATTGGGTACGATTAGAATTTGGCACCTGGACCAGCACCCAGTATGGTTTTGCTCTTACCTTGATGCCAGTCTTGGCCCGTTGTCATGTAAACCAACACCAGACAAATGTAACCACCAAACACTGAAGAACTGCTGTGCTTACTGGAGGTTTTGAGGAGAGCGCACCGGGCGTCTCTCCCTTTTCCCAGTGTTACACCTGCCCTTTGCCTTCATCTCTTTCTTGCTCTTTTTCCTTCCCCCTCCCTGTTTCTCTGGCCACACCTCTGCCTCCTTCCATCTGTGAGGTGGGGCAGTTGCCTCCAGAAACCAGGCAAGCGATCCCTTGTTTCCCTTTCCGGCCGCTTTGTGCGAGCTGGCTTGGCCTGTCCCTGGCTCACCTGCCATGGCCTCCGCCCACCATTCCCTGCCTTGACCATCTGCTCTCCTGCAGCTGAGGGCAGAGCGGAGGCTCCGGGTGGAGGAGGTGCGGCTACGGGAGCTGGAGGTGGGTGTGGGGGCTGTGTGGCAGCAGGGGACAGGAAGGGAGGATGGCATCTGGGGGTTGTGGCAGGCCTGTCCCCTCACCATGGGCTGTTCTTCCAGGAGCTGAGAAAGCGGGAGGTGGTAGCTGTAGGACACCTGGAGGTGCCAGCAGAGCTGGCTGGGCTCTTGCGAGCAGTGGCAGGTACATCTGTGCTGCATGGTGTGGTGGGAATGGGCATAGGTGGGCGAGGGAGCCAGGTATCTCATGCCCTCTTCTCTCCACAGGCCTCAGGACAGCCCAAGTGCCCCGGGTGGCCTCTGTGCGGACTCCCCGGCTCCAGGCTGAGCCCCGTGTCACTCTTCCCCTGGATATCAACAACTACCCCATGGCCAAGTTTGTCCGGTGCCACTTTAAGGTAAAGGCTGGCATAAGCCAAGCAGCCCAGGCCAGTGGGTGCAGATATATTAGTATTGATACTGTCCTCAGCCTGTGGCAGGCTCCTGTCCACGCCCTGTGGCATCAGGTATGAGCCCTTCCATCAGCTGCTGGATCATGAGGAGTCTGGGGCACCCATGGGGGCCTGGATAGCAGTGGAGGGTCCACAGGGCCTCGGGAAGTGGCCGTTTGCCAATCAGTGTGGAAATACATCAGAAATTTACAATTAACAATCGGTGGAGCTACAGTTTGTCACCCCTGCTTTAATTTTTTGTTCTCCAGGAAGGGCCTAGATGGGGGCTCAGACTGTCTCTACCACCACCTTTCTGAGGGCTGGTGTCTGCCCTCATCTACACATTGGGGACAGGAGCTCTTGCCTCCTAGGCGTTTGTGCTCCCATCTGGCACAGGGTAGTGGATCCAGATGTGCCTGTCAGCCCTGGCTCTGTCTCCATGTGTCTGCCCTGTGCCCTCAGGAACCTGCCTTTGGGATGCTGACAGTGCCCCTGAGGATGCCCCTCACTGGGCTGCCAGTAGAGCACCACGCAGAAGCCGTGAGCATCTTCAAACTGGTACGGGTCTGTCCAGACCACCTTTGAATTCGCAGCCCCTGCAGCTGAGGTCAGGCCATGGGACGACTCATCCTGCTCTCTGGAACCATCCACTAGTCAAAGCCACAAGCCAAGGAGTCATCCTTGGAGGAGAGGTTTCTGTCGGGGGTCTGGCCTCCTCTCTGGGCTGAGATCTGGGGGTAGAGAGCTTTTCTTCTCCCAGTCTTCTTCCTGGCAAAAAGGCTGCGTCTCTGGACATTCCCAGGGACACCAAGAACAGATCCAGGTTCTCTCCTCAGGACTTCCCAGTCTGAAGGAGGAGGCAGAGCACATCTGGCCAGTGACCCACCAGCATGGACAGCAGGAGGCATGGAGGCTGGGAAGTCCAGACAAGTCCCCTGATCCAGCCCTGGGCAGGGTCAGATAGAGCTTCCTGGAGGAGAAGGCATTTGAGCTAGAGTAGGAGGAGGAGTCAGTCTCCCAGCCAGGGCAAGTGGAGAAGGCACAGAGAGAGGAGGAAGTTGATGTGGTTAGAACAGAGAAGCAGGAGGGCAGAGGCAAGGGAGTCAGGAGGCCTTGATTGACAAACCCGGAGCTTGGATTTCGTCCCAAGGGCCTTACAGAGCCAAGAAATGTGCTTCCATGGGAGGAACCTAGTCGGATATATGGCCCCTCTTGGGTCTGAATGGAGCCAGAGATGAGGTTCCTGTTGGAGGCCAGGGATGCTGGGCAGGGATAGTTTGTATGGGAGCTATAGAAGGTTCATGAGCAGGAGAGAGAGTCAGCATGCATGTTGGATCTTGACTTTTTCCCATGGCTAGAGTGAACTGCCTGGTCATTTGGTATAGGATTAACTATTATATTGTAACGTGGGGGACTTTTATATGGGCAGAGGGACACACGGGAAGGACATGACAGGGATGCGTGTTGGGGTTGGGAACCTGGCAGGAATGACTTTCCGAGAAGCCCAGGACAGTCTGTTTGTGGCCCAGATCCTGCGTTTCATGGGTGACCCCCACCTGCATGGTGCCCAGGAAAACATCTTCGGGAACTACATTGTACAGAAAGGGCTGGCAGTGCCTGAACTACGGGATGAGATCCTGGCACAACTGGCCAACCAGGTGTGGCGCAACCCCAGTACCCACAATGCCGAGCGGGGCTGGCTCTTGCTGGCTGCCTGCCTCAGCGGCTTTGCACCTTCCTCGCGCCTCAGCAAGTACCTGCTCAAGTGAGTGGAACCTGGGGGCTGGGATGAGGACAGTGACCCTAGCACAAGGCCAGGGTGCAGTATTAAAGGTCAGGCCAGGAGTGAGGCCTCTGTGCATGAAGCTCAGGCACGGAGGGCAGTCAGGGGCTGCTCTCTGTCTCCACTGGACTTACTGTGAAGGGTAGGGCTCTCAAAACTCAGTGGGTGGCAAAACCAGGGTGTAGGGAATTTGGAAATGAGACAGTGACCTCTCACATCATCGGGGTATAGTGAGGTGGTTAGAAGCATAGACTGGCAGTCTGCTTTCAAGTCCCAGCTCAACCATATCAGAGCTGTGTGACCTTAGGCAAATTACTTAGCCTCACTGAGCCTCAGTTTCTTCAGTCTAAAATGGGAATAATAAGAATACCTACTTCATAGGCTGTGTGAGGATACATGTGAAGTGCTTAGATGGGCATGTGGTAAGTGCTAGGTGGGGGCAGCCGTTGGCAGCCCCTTGAGGAAGAGGGTGATGCTGTCACCCCACTGGGTGATAAGGGTGATTGGCAAGGAAAAGAGCTCAAGCAGGCCCTGGTGTGAATTCTCGCTGTGACACTTACCAGCTGTATGACCTGGAGTAAGTCATGGCTCCTCTCTGAACCTCTTCCCTTACCTATAAATTAGGGATGGTGACAGGACCACCTTACGGGTGGCTGTGAGCTACAGAGTGTAGAGAGGTTCACTGGGCCATGTGCAGTGGATGGGCAGCTCACTTGCCAGCCTTATGAATCTATGGCAATAGGGTAGGGCCACCTGCCTGTCCAGGGCTTCCTGTGGGCACAGCTCTAGTTCCCTCTTGTAGCCACTGTGGTCCCGCTCCTCTGCTGCTCCTGGCCAGGTACCCCAGCAATTGAGAGGGGGACAGGGAGCCAGGCATGAGGAATGCCTGCCACTGGTAGGGATCAGGCTCAGTGGTCCAGGTCAAGTTGAACCCTCACAGCCATCTCTTGTATAGGTGAGAACTTGGCAGCAGGCTCAGAGAGGACAGATAACCAACCAGGGTTGCCGGGTAAAAGAAGGGAGGGCAGAGTCCTCCAGAGTCCCATTTCTTGCCCACATAGTGCAGCAGACCCTACCCTATCAATGACATTTTGCTCCAACAAGCTTAGGTGGGCCATCCTGGGACCTCTTTGGCCTATCCTTGTAACTCCATGCTGGTTTGAAATACTTTTGGGCTAGCCTGGTACCCTTCTTTTCTAGCCTAGCCTCAGAACTCTGGGGTATCCTAGGACCTTTTCGGCCTCACCTTAAAGTTCTGGGCTAGCCTGGGCCTCCCTTAAACTAACCTCAGAATTCTCCCCCACCCTGGGCTAGCCTCAGATCTGTCTTCATCTTGGCTCTAACTCTTACCTATCAGGTTTGTGTCTGATTATGGGCAGAATGGCTTCCAGGCCGTGTGTCAACGTCGCCTCATGCAGGCCATGGGCCGGGCCCAACAGCAGGGCTCTGGGGCTGCCCGCACCTTCCCTCCGACCCAGCTCGAGTGGATAGCAACCCAGGAAAAGGCCAGCATGGCTTTGGAAGTGGGCTGCTTTAATGGTGAGCTGCCTTCTCCCGCCTTGGTTGCCTTTCCTCCCTCAGGCCCCAGTATGCTCTGGGTCAGGAGAAGCCACAGGAGGTTCTAGAGCTGGGGAGGGGCCTGCTGGATGTGGCCCTGGAAAGAGGTCTTCCTGTGGGTGTGGAGTTGACCTGGAATGTGGAGAAGGAGCTGCGGCAGAAAAGGTGCAGACCTAGGATCCTGGGCAAGAGTGAGCGACCTAAGCGCAGGAAGTGGGCAGAGAAGCAGTAGAGCTGGACCGACTGCAGGTTTCCCAGGCTGAGCTCAGCACCTGCTCTTGTCCCAGGTGACCAGTTCTCCTGCCCAGTACACTCCTGGAGCACAGGGGAAGAGGTGGCTGGAGACATTCTAAGGCACAGGTTGGCACCTGAATGACCTGCCCAACACATCCTTATGCACCTGGGAAGGAGGGAGGGAGGGGAAGGAGGCCAGATTCCGCAAAGGGCCCCATGGGGTCCACTCTGGGCATGCCTGGGGCCTGCCTATATCCCAGAGTCTCCTCTTGGCTTCATCCCTCATTTATATCCCTTCATATGCTGTCACCAGGGGGCTGGCAGACGGCTGGCGGGGCTGGACAGTGGCCATGAAGAATGGGGCTCAGTGGGCAGAGCTGGCAGGCCATGACTACGTGCTGGACCTGGTGTCAGACCTGGAGCTGCTCAGGGACTTCCCACGACAGAAGTCCTACTTCATTGTGGGTGCAGAAAAGCCCATGGCCACCAGGGGAGGCCTGAGAGCGTAGGTGGCTACCTGGGCCCCCTCATACAGATCCTGTCCCAGCACAGGACTGCCCCTCTTGGCTGCTGGGAGCAGCTGAGTTCTGAACTTGAGCTTCAGGGTTCAGAAGGAGATGGGTCTTACCAAAGGGCCCTGCCTTAAAGAGTCATTCAATTCCAGAGTACTGTATTGGGGGGGGGTGGTGCTGGGAGGGCCTGGGTCTCTCGAGGGGTCAGATGCTCTGTGTTCACCTTTCCCACAGGGTGTTTGGGAACAGCTGGGACTCGGACGAGGACACCCCTACTAGGCCCCAGCCACAGGGGCATGTGCCCAAAGTCGCTGACTCCAATGGGTACTGCAGCCACAATGAGGACAGTGCAAATGGGGAGACTGAGGCCCAGAGAGGTACAACCGCCCACCGAGGTCAGCCAGCAGTGGCCACTGTCTCTGGTGGGGAGGGAACCTGGGGGCTGGGTAGGTGATTAGCAGGAGAAAATAACTTTACTTTTGTGTGTGTCCCCCACTGCCAGACTTAGACAGCCTTGGAGAGCCTGCTGTGTCCCACAGAGGGCTGGACTGCTACCTGGACAGCCTCTTCGACCCTGTGCTGTCCTATGGGGATGCGGTAGGGATGAGTGGGGTATTTGCAGACAGCAGGCACAGCACGTACACACCAAGTCACACACATCCACAGGGTGACATAGCCAGGGCCATGGGTGGCATGTCTCATCTGGGTCCCTGCTGGGGACTCAGCAAAGGATGAGGGTACTCTCTCGGCTAGAGATGCTCCTGGATAGAGGCCCAGGACCTCCCCCATGTCCTGTGGGAGCCAGCCCCCTCAGACACCCTTGCTCACTCTGAGAACTCCCAAGGGCCCCTCCATGGCATGATGTGCAGCCCTGAGCAGCAAATAGGCCCTCTCTGAGCCTCAGTTTACTCCTTTGTGAAAGGCGTGTGGTGTGTTGGGAGCTTGCAAGGTTGTGGGAGGCCTGACAATGCACATGGGCAGAGGCTGGGCATACAGCAGACACTGGGCCGGTGGGAGGCCCCTGGGATGGGGGAGGAGGCTGGTGTCAGGTGCCGTTGCCTTGGAACCTTGGGAGGACAGCATTGAGGCGGTCACTCGAGCCACCTGCTGCCCCCAGGACCTGGAGAAGCCAACAACCATTGCCTACCGTATGAAAGGAGGAGGCCAGCCTGGTGGAGGTGGCAGTAGCAGCACTGAAGACACGCCCAAGAGACCCCCAGAGCCAAAGCCAAGTCAGTGCCTGCCCCAAGGTTGGGTCCAGGGTTGGGCAAGGCTGGGATCCCCTCTAGTTCTCTGGGCTCCTTCCCGTGCTAAAATGGAGGCAGCCATGGGCATGGTGGAGGTGAGACAACTGGGGGGTGGGATGTGGTAGGAAATTCCCATTTCCCTCATCTCCCACACTTTGGGATTTGCTCCCTCTGACCCGGCTCCCTGAAGTCCCAGGCCTGGATGCCTCCACCTTGGCTCTGCAGCAGGCCTTCATCCACAAGCAGGCTGTGCTGCTGGTGAGTGGAGAGGGACTGTGGCAGAGGGGCAGGGAGTCCCCAGAGCATGGGCCTGCCTGGTAATCACCACCTCTTCTCCTCAGGCCAGGGAGATGACCCTGCAGGCCATGGCACTCCAGCAGCAGCCCCTGAGTCCCACCCCACAGCCCTTACCCCTTGAGGTGAGCCTGGCTGCCCAAGTGAGTGCTGTGCTGCTCCAGGGCATCATTGTATTCATTGTACCTCTCTGAGCTAGGACCCCCACAGCCCATCCTGGGCAGACATGGAATCTCTGAGGGCAAGCTGATGTGTCCCAGGAAGCTCACCTCACACCCTGCTCTCTGCAGAAGCCCCTAGCACCAGAGGCACGGCCAAAGTTCATAGGCACTGGACCCCCAGCCAAGCCTGTGCTCCTGCGCTCCACTCCAAAGCCCTCAGTCCCAGCCCCTCTGGCCAAGGCCCCCAAGCCCCCCACCAAGCCTGTGGCTGCCCCCATTCTAGCTCAGGACCGGGCTTCTCCAGAAACCAGTAAGTGTCCTATCCCTGCTGGGGTGCTGGTGGGAAGTTTCCCAGCACTGCGGGACTGGGAGGTGTGGTCTCACCCTGTCCCCACCCTCACCCCTGCCCTCAGCTTTGCCCTGCCCAGAGCTGGTCCGGTACTCCACCCTCAACTCCGAGCACTTCCCGCAGCCCACACAGCAGATCAAGAACATCGTCAGGCAGTACCAGCAGCCACCGCAGGGAGGCCAGCCCAAGGCCCTCAGGTCAGCTCTGCCCCACCCAGCCCTCCAGCCCTGCAGACGCTTGGCCTCCTCACTGGGCCTGAGTGCCCAGCAATGTTTAGGGAGTGAATCTGTATATGCAGATGCTCCACATGATCCCCTCAGGCAGAGGGAGACGCAATTGCTTTCTAGGTTGTGTTGTGTGACTGCAGGCCCGGCTCTGATGAGAACCATTCTGGGCTCTCATTTATAATGACGGGGGTGGAGGAAGAGGGTCATTATTTTAGGAATTTGTGACTGGGAAGGGGAACTCAGTGTCCAACTCACCAGGAAGGACTGCGGAAGGGTGTTCGGGAAGCGGCCAGACCCCCATGAGGAAGCCCTGATGATCCTGAAGGGGCAGATGAGCCACATGGTGACAGCACCTGGTACTCAGGTGAGGGGCAGAGTCTGACTGTGCCCAGGCAGAATGAAGACAAAGTGGGGCCTCCAGGGGAGCCTCAGAAACCAGCTGCCCCATAAGGTGGGGCCCTGCTGCTTCTCTCTCCATGGGCCCACCTGTACCCCCTGAACACTTTTTGGGGTGGGGACAGGTGCCCAGGGAGGCCGTGGCCCTGGTGAAGCCAGTGACCAGCGCACCAAGGCCATCTGTGAGGCCCACTGCAGGTGAGGAGCCAGGAAAGGGAGGGAGGGACAAGAGGGCAGGTGTCCAAGTGTATTAGTAAGTCTGTGTGGGCACAAGTGAGTCTCAGTCTGCATGTCAGTGGCAAGTGTGTCCATGTCCTGAGCCCATGTACACCTACTGTGTGGACATTTGTGAAGCATGTCAGCACTTAACACTGATTTCAGGCCAGGCCCACCCTGGCCTTACTAAATCTTCACTAAAACCCTAGACACAGTACCATCTCTACCTACAGATGTTACAGATGGAGAAACAGAGGTACAGGGGGTTAAATGACTTGCCCAAGATCACAGAGCATAAAAGTGTCAGGCCAGGGATCTAAATCCAGGCCTCCTGACATCACAGTTGGAGCCCTAACCTCTACATCCTTTGCCTCACGGTAGCCACAGTGGTCTTAAGAGAGATAAATCAGCTCAATCAAGTTCCTGGCCAAAACACTCCAGCAGCTCCTAGGAGAAATTCCATAGTCCTCACTGTGGCCTACGAGATCTGCTCATCTCCCCAACCTTGTCTCCTCCCACTTTCCCCTTGGCACACTCTGTTCCTCAGTGTTACTGGACACACCACGCCCACTCCTGCCCTGTGGCCTTTGTACTTGCTGTTCCCTCTGCCTAGAATGCTGTTCCCCAAAAGGTCTTTGCCTGCCTGGCCCCTTCTTATCATTTAGGTCTCAGGTGTCACCCCCTCAGAGAGGTCTGCCAGACTGCCCGCCTGAAGGACCCTCACAGACCAGCGCCCAGACCCTTTCCTAAATCACCGTTTTATTTTGACTCCTAGCTCCTAGCACTAAGAGCTTTGTCATTTTTGAATTGTCTCTTTCACCCACACTTGCCAGGAGACTCTAAACTCAAGTTAGGCGCCTTGTCTACCCCGTGACATCCTCAGCCCCTAGCAGACCTGCATACGTTAGGTACTCTACATATGTGTTGTATGAAGGGTTGGGCTGTATGAGTATTCCTTCATGCATGTGATCAGGTGTGTCTGTGGCCAAGGGGGTGGGATACCACTCTACCCCACCCCTTCCCCAACACGAGGTTGCCTAGAATCCCCTCCCCAGCTGGTCCCCCCTCCCCCCTCATGTCTTCCTGACTTGCTGTGCTCCCCAGCGCTTCCTTCGAGGTCGCTGGACCCTCCTGAGGAACCAGTGCAGACGCAGCTACACCGCCTCCCAAACCCCAATTTCTATGGCTACCAGGACACCCCCTGGCAGATCTTCCTGCGCAAAGAGGTGCCCGGAGCCAGGGGAGGGGCTGAATAGGGGCAGAGGGGCCCACCCGGATTGGAGAACCAGGTCAGAGTGGAGCTAAGCTAGAGAACCTGCCGCTGGTATAGAGCAGGGCTGTATCTAGGAGGTGGGGCCAGGTGTAAAGCAAAGTGAGGGGGCCTTTGGAAGGTCCTCACTGAAGCCCTACCCCCACAGGTGTTTTACCCAAAGGACAGCTACAGCCACCCTGTGCAACTAGATCTCCTGTTCCGGCAGGTGAGGCCCTCTCTTCCCTTTCTGCCTCAGTGTACTCAGCAGGGCAGTGGGCACATGGACTAGCTGTCTGCAAACTCTGCTTGCACATTCTTGAGCATGGTGTGAATGGGAAGCTGTTCTACTGTATCCCCTACTCCCATGATTAGGGTCAACAAGCCCACAGACCCATCTAACCAAACTCATAGTTTGTCTGAGTTAGACAGGGCCCAGAGGTCAAATCCAAGTTCCATTGTATAGATTGGAAAACTGAGGCCCGGGATAGGTGGCATGACTTGTGGAGGTAGGAGAAAGGAGAGTGTAAGTGGGATCTGATTTACTGAGATGACCCAACAGCTGCATACATGGAACTTCCACTCCTCCTAGAACAGTCCAGCTTGGGATCCCAGTTGGGGGAGTCCCTCTGGCCACCCACATTACAGCTCATTCCCGCAGATCCTGCATGATACACTCTCCGAGGCCTGCCTGCGCATCTCTGAGGACGAGAGGCTCAAGATGAAGGCCCTATTTGGTACCACAGTGGGAGGGAAGGGAAGGGATGAGCCTAGCCCCCCTCACCTCCCAGACACCCCTCCTTGCTCAGCTGCTGGGCTCTCCCATGGCCAGGCGACATGTCTGAGGTCAGCTCTACCTGCCAGGCTAGGTGGCCTGTGCCATCCCATCTACCTCTGTGTATTGGTTTCCCAGTCTGGGACTGAGAGCACAGCGATCTCCTACCTCCTTGCTGAGTGTCAGTCTTCCTCCCTGCAGTGTGGGCCAGCAGGGGATTCAGGGAAGGTCCTGACCCGACCTAATATCCCTTAGCACAGAACCAACTGGACACACAGCGGCCCCTGGTGACGGAGAGCGTGAAACGGGCTGTGGTCAGCACTGCACGGGACAGCTGGGAGGTCTACTTCTCCCGCCTTTTCCCTGCCACGGTACGAGCCACCTGCCAACCTTCCCCCACCCCTATCCCAGCCCACGGGCTTTAAGGACAAGGCTAGAAGACCATCATATGCCCTTATCCCCACCCCAGGGCAGCGTGGGCACTGGCGTCCAGATCCTAGCTGTGTCCCACACAGGCATCAAACTCCTCCAGATGGCCAGGGGCAACCGGGAGGCCAGTGGGCAGCTGCGTGTCCTGCGCACATACAGGTGACTGGCAGGCGGGTGGAAAGGGGGCTAGATGGACACTGGGGCACAGATTGGCATCAGCATTTTCTCACTGACTTTCTGTAGCCGATTACTGAGCATCTACAATGTGCCAGGCAGGCTCTGTGCCAAGCCCTTTAATCCAGCCCATTTTAGAGATGGGGAAATGGGCTCAGGGAGAGAAGGTGCTTGTCTCAGGTCACACCGCCAGGAAGTAGATGAGCTAGGAACCTGCCCTGCCATTCTGCCTCCCAGACCACACCCCAGCCCAGCCCTCACAGAGCTCACTGTAGTCAGGGACTGTTCTGGTGCAGCCTGGAAGGGGAAGGAGCTCCAGGGTGAGGCCTTGCTGAGTCCTCCGGCCTCCTGCCAACAGTCCCTTTTGTCCCTTACAGCACAGGACAGGAATGGAGGCTGGCTTGCCAGTTGAGTACAAGCTCCTTGCTTTAAAAAAAGGAGAGAATTTGTTTAATGAGATTGGATCCAGAGGCGAATAGATGATAGATAGATGATAGATAGATAGATGATAGATGATGATGATGATAGATAGATAGATGATAGATAGATAGATGATAGATAGATAGATAGATAGATAGATAGATAGATAGATAGATAGATAGATAGATAGATGATAGATAGATAGCAGAGAGTGGGAGGGACTGGTCTGTTGGTGCAAAGGGTAGTAGGCAATGAGCCGAAGCCACAGAGGGATCAAGAAGGGGAGGCTGGGGAAGTTCCTTGGGTCCCAGGCGCTCTGGTATAGTGGGGCTGGGTTTCGGGAATGGGACAGGGCAGGGGCAAAAGGAGCAGGATGGGTGGAGTAGAGGGCGTCCCTCTGGTCATAGGTTCCTGCCCTCATGCCACCATCCCATCCTCCAGCTTTGCAGATATCCTTTTTGTGACCATCCCCTCCCAGAACATGCTGGAGTTCAACTTAGCCAGTGAGAAGGTCATCCTCTTCTCAGCCCGAGCTCAGCAGGTCAAGACCCTGGTGGATGACTTCATCCTGGAGCTGAAGAAGGTCAGGGCCCTCCTAAGATGCCCCCCACCCCACACCAAGAGTCGAGGGCCCAAGAACAGGGCTCTCCCACCCCAGATACACCAGCCACACCTGCCTGGGAAGTATGGATATGTGTGTGTTAGTAGCCGTAGCCTACATAGACTTCTGTAGGCTTTCGGGCCTTTGTGCAGGCTGTGCCTTCCACCTGGGATGCCCTTCAGTCTTTGTCTGCTCGTTCAAAAACCTTTTCTAATGCCCTCAAGGATGTCACAGCACCTCCTATGAGCTCCACAGCAGCTGTGCTCCTCACCCTCTTGCAGTGACTGCCCACCTCTGCTCACTGCAATGTCAGGGCCCACCCCCTCCCCTCCCCCAGCCTGGCAGCCCCCAAGCCAAGAATATGCGATCTCTGCCTCAGGCCCAGCATCTGGCCTCAGTGGGGAAGCTTTGGTAAGGGATAGAGGGGTAAGGCATATGCACGTGCTACAACACCCATCCATATTCACCAGGCTTGGGCCTCTAACCTTCTACCCTTCTACCTGGAATGCCCCACCCACTTTCACCTAGAAAATGTTCTCTGATGAACTGGGAGGGATGCCTGCAGATGTGAGGGGCAGGGGGTGGCCCCGGGCCTCTGGGAGGAGGTGGAAGGGACTGTGGCCCCTCACCCTGCCTCTGCTAACCTAGGACTCGGACTACGTGGTTGCTGTGAGGAACTTCCTGCCTGAGGACCCGTCGCTGCTGGCCTTCCACAAGGGCGACATCATCCACCTGCAGCTCCCAGAGTCCCCTCGAATGGGTCAGTGCCTTGGGATGAGGTGGGCACAAGAGGGGGAGGCTGGGCAATGGGGCCTCCCTGGCAGTTGCTGACATAAGCCTGGCCCACAGGCTACAGTGCCGGCTGTGTTGTCCGCAAGAAGGTCGTGTACCTGGAGGAGCTGCAGCGTAGAGGCCCTGACTTCGGTAGGGAGCCTGGGATCGCCTGCACATTCCCCAGCGCTCCAGAACCTGGAAACCCTAAGCAGAGCTCACCTGGTTTCATGCGCCCACACTACATATGCAGGATGGGGGTTTCTCAGTGCCCCAAAGTGGTCTGGTCTGGCCTGGCCAGGTCTCCTAAGGTGACTCCCGGTGACCATCCAGCCCAGCCCTCTGCCTGCATATCTGACTGAAGGGTCTCTGTGGGCATTAGTGTTTCCATGTTTGTGCCACAAATGCTGCTCAACTTCCCACTGAGGGAAAGCCTTCCCTCCCTGAGCCTCCCGTGTCCTCATCTGTAAATAGGTTCCACGGCATGCCTCCATTGCCGAGCTTGAGGGAGCGACCAAGCTACGCCAGTGTCCCTAGAGAGTCCCTTAGTCCCAAGAGGACTCCCTCCTGTTTGCCTCAGACTCCTTCCCCGCCCCCTAGGCTGGAGGTTCGGGACCATCCACGGGCGCGTGGGACGCTTCCCTTCTGAGCTGGTGCAGCCCGTGGCTGCCCCTGACTTCCTGCAGCTGCCTGCGGAGCCCAGCAGGGGTCGTGCTGCTGCCGTGGCTGCCGCTGTGGCCTCCACAGCTGCTGCATGGGAGGTGGGCCGCAGGAGAGAGGTGAGATAGATGGGGCCAGCAAGGGGTCACCCTGACTGGAGGTGGATGGGAACAAGGCCAGCCTACGGTGTTGGCCAGTCCTGGGATGGGGTGAGTCTGATAGGGTTAGTCAGACGAGTGACCTGTGGGATGTGACCCAAGATGGTTGGAGATGTGGCCAAATGGGGTAGAGAAGGGTAGAGTCAGCGGAAGGGTTGTGACCAGGCCAGTGTGTCAGAATGGGGCCAGGTGAGTGGGACAGGGTGGGGCACGTGGAGTCTGTTAGCAAGAGGTAGAGTGAGGTCAGCTCCACCGGGCAGCTGGGGAGACCATCCCCAGGCAGGGATGGGCCCAGTGGAGGGCATGGCCAAGTGGGTCAGGGGATGGGGTCCACTGGGCACATGGTGGCTGTGACCTGGTCAAGAGGGGTGGAGGAGCGACGGGGGTTAGACAGGCCCTCCTACCTCCTGCCCTCTTGCAGGGTTCCCCCATCAAGACTGGCTCAGCTGACCGTGAGGAAGACCGCCTGGCTCTCCCACCGTACACAATGCTGGAGTTTGCCCAAAAGTATTTCCGAGACCCTCAGAGGAGGCCCCAGTGAGTGGTGACCCTCCCCCCATCTCCACCCTAAGGAGGTCCTTCTGGACTTCTTGCAGCTGTCCAAGTGGGAAGGCCCCACCTCTGGTGAGGGGAGGAGGAACCATGCAGGTGTGAGGCCTACCTGCAGCCTTAGCTGTGGGAGCCTTCCCGTGTGGGAACAGGGTGGGGCCACAGGCTCAGAGACAAGTGGCCTGTGTGTCTACTTCCTGTTGTAGGGATGGCCTCAGGCTGAAATCCAAGGAGGGCCGGGAGTCCAGAACCTTGGAAGACATGCTTTGCTTCACCAAGGTGCCCATCCCCAGGCCTCAGTTTCCCCATCTGTAAAATGGTGATGCCCCTGGCACAGATAGCCTTGTCCTCATAGAGACCCCTGCTCTTAGCACCCTGAGGGCCTGAGAGCAGCATATGTCCCGTGTTGGCCTGGCTACCTACTTGGACCCTCCTGTCACGAGACAGGATCCACCATGTGGCCCTCCTCTGTTCAGATGCCCCTCCCCCATCACGACACACCTCCTCCCCTCACAGACCCCGCTCCAGGAGTCCCTCATCGAGCTCAGTGACAGCAGCCTCAACAGGACGGCCACCGACATGTTCCTAGGTTTGAGGGTGGTACTGTGGCCAGGGCCCTGGGCCAGGTGGAATCCAACACTATCTGACCCCTGTCATCACCACTCCCCTGGTCCTCAGATGCTTCCCCTCCCCCAAAGCAGACATGGGGCTCCTTTAAGAGAAGAGAAGGCCCTAGCTGCCCCTGGCCACAGCCTCTCAAAGAGGGGCCTAACCCTGGGGTCCCCTGAGGCGGGTGGACAGCTGGGGGTCTGGTGGCCTGAGTAGGATAGGTATTTCCACAGCTGTGATGCGGTTCATGGGGGACGCCCCACTGAAGGGCCAGAGTGAACTGGATGTGCTTTGCACCCTCCTGAAGGTCAGTCCAGCCGACTTTGCTAGATGCTCTGTTTCCTGTTCTGTGGCTCAGTTTCCCCATCTGCCAGCCAGAGTTGCAGAAGTTTGGGGTGGGCAGCTTCTTGTGTGGCCCAGAGAGGAGTGAATCCCACTGGTGGGGAGGGGACTGGAGAAGGGATACCAGGCCTATCTCCAAGTGCCCATTCTGTTCTTATGTGCCTGGTATGTGGCTTGTGAACCAGCCCCTCCCTCCTACAGCTGTGCAGGGAGCATGAGGTCATGCAGGACGAATGTTACTGCCAAATTGTGAAGCAGATCACAGACAACACCAGCACCAAGCAGTGAGTGGGCTGGGCCTTTACCTCCATCTTTCTCTCCTCCACTGTGTCCAAGTCCAGGAAGGGCAGCTCAGCCTCCCACTTCCCAGGCCTGTCCCTTCCCAGATTCTCTCACCAGTCCTCCTCACTCAGTAGACAAAGCACATGTATTTGGAATTGCTTGGTCTGAGACAAGCCATTCCTGCTCTTGGAGCTTCAGTTTCCCCTCTGTAAAATGGCAGTGATAAGGTGTGAATCCAGGCTATTGGTTGCAAATGACAGAAACTCAGTTCAAGTTGGTTTAAGCAAAAGAGGGTCAAGGTAACTGGAAGGTCCAATATATGGCCTCAGGCATAGCTAGATCCAGGTATCACCAGGGAGCAGGCCTTTTCTATACCCTGGCCCTGTTTTCCTCTGTGTTGATATCATTCCCAAGCAACATCTCCCATTGATTTGCAAGATGGTGGCTCTGGAGAGACATTTCCCAGCTCAGCAATCCCGGAGAAAGCAAGATTGACCCAATATTTGCAGCAAAAATTCCCCAATCCAGTCTCATCAGCCCAGCTTCGTCACAGACATGTCCACCCCTATACCAACCACAGTGGCTAAGGCTATAGGGCCGTGATTGGTGAGACCTGGGTCACTGCTGTCCCTAAATCAGTCATCACAGCCAGAGTGAAGCTGAACTCTAACTTGGCCACAGCTGGCTCTCATGCCCGTCTCCACACCACATGGACCCAGGGAGGGGTGGTGTGGACAAAGGAAGCATAAGTGCTGTCCCCAGACACTAGAGGTCCCCACAGGTGAAACTCTTGTACCAGGGCAGTGTGCAGGTGAACTGTGCTCACACAGGAGCAGCACGCAGCCAGTGCCCAAAGCGTGTGCTGCTCTTGGTACCACTGGGCCCACTGTCTTGTCCCCATCTCCTCCATCTCCTCCACTTGCTCTCCACCCAGCTGGGAATTTTAGAGCCTCTCAGCATGTCCTCTAGTCCGTTACTCCCACTCCAGGCCTTATCTGCCATTACCTTCACACAGCCCCAGTAGGTTCCCCTTGCCCTCCTTCAAGGCCCTTCACCCAGGAGCCTCTTCAGAGAGATTCTACCCAGGGAAGGTGTTTCTTTGTGCATGCCGCGGGCCACATCCCCTTCCTTCCCTGCCTCCCACCCTGGCTTCCCAAGCAGAACATACCTTCTGCATGGCTTTGGGGCCACCTGCCCTGCTCTCACCAAGCAGGGAAGAACATCCCCAGAACATGGGAGCTGCCTGAGAACCAGAGACCTCCAGCCCTATCCAGGAGACTCCTGGCATGGCACCCTAGTGCTGTGGCCACCTGTGATGTGGTCCTATGTGTGTGTTCTCACAGGGACAGCTGTCAGCGAGGCTGGAGGCTGCTGTACATTGTGACTGCCTACCACAGCTGCTCTGAGGTCCTCCAGCCACACCTCGTTCACTATCTCCACAATGTGAGCCAGACCCCAGGCCTGCCCTTCCAAGGTGAGGAGCCAACAATAAGTGGGGACCCAGGGCCGAGGGCCTGTCTGTATGAGTACTGGCTGGGCAGCCAGTGGGAGGGGAGATCTGGAGGACCTGGCCCCTCACAGGTGCCTAGGCAATGTTTACTGAGATTAATTCACTCCCCAAACATTTGTGGAGGTCCCGCAGGGGCTGATGCACTGGGTTGTCTGATATAATGGGAAGGGTGATATGTCAGAGGAGGTATTGGCTTCCCAGAGGAGGTGTTGCTCTGGGTAGGGATTTCTAGGTGGGCTGAGCGGCAGGAGCACAGGTCTGGAGGTGGGAAAGTGTGGCATGTGGAAAAAGAGAAGGCGGTAGCAAGGCCTGGAGTACTAGGGTGAGGCTCTGCTTCTCTGGTCTTTGGGAATCAACAAGGGTCTTGAGTGGGTCCAGGCAGGGGTGGGCCCAAAGCTAGTGACAAGGTCTCGGCCGGCCTTTCTGTGCTTGGGGTATGGAGGAAGGGGGCCACTCCTCAACGTCATTTCCAGCCTTGTTTCTATAGCAACTTCCTGGTCCCCCTAAGAAAGAGACCAGGGCCCCTGTGGTGACCACAGCAGCTGTGAAAGAGATGGGGGACCTCCCTTTCTCTGCCTGTGAATCCTCCTCTTTTATTTGATCAACACACACTCCCAGGTTCAGAGGTGACTAGGCCCAGCTCCAGGGAAGAGCTGGAGTCATGAAGGCAGCTCTGGATTTGACCCTCCCCAGGACAGGGTGAGGGCACTGCTTAGCCCAGGGGTGGGGAACCTTTTTCTGCCAAGGGCCATTTGGATATTTTTAACATCATTCATTGGCCATACAAAATTATCGACTTAAAAATTAGCTATGAAAATAGCTCCTCGATTTATTGAATTTTGAGTCCTGCCTGTGGTTGCCCTGTCAGAACTACACCAAATGATTCCGCGGGCCGGACGTTCCCTGCCCCTGGTTAACCAGAGATGGGGAGAAGCAAACGCTGGAGTCTTTGCACTGGGACTCTGGTGAGGGAGGCGGTCAGCAAGGTCCCACCGGCAGGGGCACAGCTGCATCATCACAGCCACACAGCCTCTTAGGGGAAAGCCCCCAGTGACAGCTATTTCCAGGACTCATAGGTAGCCAAGGGGGCTATGGATGAAACAAAAGCCTTAGCCATGTGGGATATGTGTTTGAGTGTAGCACTCATACTCCAGATTTTGACCTTGTGCAAATCACAGGCCCTCTCTGAACTGTTTCCTCAGCTATCAAATTGGGAAGTAAAAGCTTGTCCCACTGGTTGTGTAGAGAACCCACTGGGCTTGTGGCTAGTGGATAGAGGAGCCCCTTTCTCTTACTGCCTACCTTGACTCTGTCTTTGTAGGAATCGCCAAGGCCTGTGAACGGAACCTGCAGAAAACCTTGCACTTTGGCGGCCGTCTGGAGCTTCCCAGCAGCATGGAGCTTCGGGCCCTGTTGGTGAGTGTGCAAGGGATGGGGCTGTGTGTGTGTGTGTGTGTGTGTGTGTGTGTCAGGGTGAGTGTGAGAGGCCCTGCTGTGTGTTCATATCCATGCAAAGGGCCCTTCAGTTCCAGTGTGTAGGTGCTCCGGCATGTGCCTGCCCCAAACCTCTTGGCTTAGGGACTCCCATGGCAGGGGACAGTGGCTGGTCCAGATCGCAAGACCAAGCTGTCCTGTCTCCTCACCCTTCCTTGTCCCAGGCGGGCCGCAGTTCCAAGAGACAACTCTTTTACCTCCCTGGAGGCCTTGAACGCCATCTGAAAATCAAAACATGCACTGTAAGTGAGGGGATGTCTCCACAGGCAGCCGCTGGAAGGGCAGGGACACCCCAGTCTCCAGAGTGAGCCCCAAAGGGTACTGAGCCTTTCCCAGAAGAGCAGACTGAGCTGTGAGGAGGTAGAGCCTCCAGCTCAGGGTCATACTACAAATAAGGGATAAACCTTCCCTGCATGAGGCTGATTCTCAGGGAGCTGAGCAGGCCCTGGCCTCTGTGCAGGGGGCCTGAGGAACTTTGCACTTGGTCTCCTGGCCCCTGGGTGGGCTGTGAGGACAGAGGCCACCTTGGCTGGCACTGCCTCACTCTTCCCTCCCCCCAGGTGGCCCTGGATGTGGTGAAGGAGATCTGTGCTGAGATGGCTTTGACACGCTCTGAGAACTTTGATGAATATGTCATCTTTCTTGTCACCAACCGAGGTGAGAGGCCAGGAGGACCGAGCATTCTGGGCTCATGCCCTATGTGGCCTGTAGGGTTAAGGTCAGATGCCACTTTCTCCCAGAAGCCCCTCAACACCCACGTGGAAGGACCTTTCTGTGCACCGAGCACCCCCAGCCCTTTGTCTGTTCCTCTCTGTTCTGTTGGGTATAAGTTTGTCTCGCCTACTAGACTGGGAATTTGTGGAAGAGAGGGCCCTCTCTGATTCCTCCCTCTGCCCCTCAGGGCTGCTCAGCGGACCCTGCCCTCAAGGAGCTCCCATCCTAGGAAGGTTTCCCTTAATAGGCCCCGGCTCCTGGGACCCACAAATGCAAGCATTTTTCTTTTCACTTATGCCTTAATATTGGCCATAAGAGGCCCCCCTTGGTCTCACTAGGTCCTTCCATGTGGCCCCTCCCCCTGCCCCTGCTGCTCACCCACTCTAGGCCATGGCCTGGCCTGCTCCCGGCTGGTCGGCCCCGTCCACCCCCAGCCAGCTCCTCCCGCTGTTGCCTCTACCCTGAACCGCGTGTCTGTCTTCAGCCCAGCTTGCCCTGAGTCCAGCTAAGATGACGGGAGGGGAAGGGAGTAACAAAATGGTCCTAACAGCTGACATGTCCTCTGTCTCAGGCGCAGTTCAAAGCATTTAATACCCCATCTCCTAAAGTCCTCACAACAACCCTATGAAACGGAGACCATTATCATCCCCATTTATGATGATGTGGGGAAACCGAGGCACACAGAGGGTGTAGTAGTTTCCTATTGCTACTGTAACAAATCACCACATACCTGGGGACTTCAAATGACACATTCTTCTTATTTTTACAGTTCTGAAGGTCAGAAGTCCTGAAATCAGAGTGTCACTGGGGCTGGTTCCTTCTGGAGGCTCTAGGGGAGAAACTTTTCCTGCCTTTTCCAGCTTGTAGAGGCCGCCCACATTCCTTGGCTCATGCTCTTCCTCCAAGAGGGCATGAGCCAGTAGGGTAGCATCTCCATCTCTCTCCCACCCCCTCCTCCTCCTCATAAGGACCCTTGAGATTACACTGGGTCTACTCGGATAACATAGGATAATTTCTCCATCCCAAGATCTTTAGCTTAATAATATTTGCAAAGTCCTTTTTGCCATGAACATAACATATTCACAGGTTCCAGGTATTAGGACATGGACGTCTCTGGGGAAGGGTCATTAATCAGCCTGCCTTGGAGGTTAAGGGGTTTACCCAAGGTCACACACTGGGCTCTGAACCCAGGCTGTCTGGCCTCAGGAGCCTGGACTTGATCATCATGCCACACACCCCTCTCTCTGGTAAAACTTTACTGAAGGTGTGGGGTGGGGAGCAGAAATGTCTGCAGAAAATGAAAAGGCCTCACTTAAACCTTCCCTACAGGCTCAGACCCACTCAGTGCGAGATCCCAGTCCTCCCCACCCCGTACCCATTCAGGGGCCTAGCAGAGGTCTCTCCTGAAGGAGTTCTGCAGAAAGGCACCCGTCGGGCCTCGTGATGGAGGCCCATTGTGCTTTTCCTTGTGCCCAGCCTCTTCTGGAAGTGGACTAGGCTTTCTCTGACCATAACCCCAAACACTTTCCTAGACCTAGGGGGCTGTAGCTTTGAGTGGGAGGTATTCCCATCTGTGGTCATCAACATTCCACAAACACAGGGCACCCTCTTCCTTAACATGCTCTCCTTTGCTGAGGATGCCATGTCCCCAAATGGGGAGGGGCTAGCTGGAGGTGATGCTTGCCTGGGTGGCAGGCTGGGGTGTGTACACGTGCTCTGTGCAGACATACACATATGCACATGCATGCCCCCACCAGTTGCCCCTGGCTTTCCGCAGGCCAGCACGTGTGCCCACTCAGCCGCTGCACCTACATCCTGGATGTGGCCTCAGAGATGGAGCAGGTGGATAGCGGCTACATGCTCTGGTTCCGGCGCGTGCTCTGGGATCAGCCACTCAAGTTTGAGAATGAGCTATATGTGACTATGCACTATAACCAGGTCAGCACATGTGGGCCACTCTGATGCTCGAACCTTCCAGGCTCCCCCCTACTGTGAGGTCAAACTCCATGGCCATTCATTTGAGGCGTTCATGATACAGGGGGTCCCCGCTGACATTTCTAGCCCTGGAGCCTCTGCTTCCTGCAGGGTGTCTGTCCTTGGAGCAGTCAAATGATGTTACCCTTACAACCTAATTCTCAGACCTTCACAGGTGCCAGCACTCTGCCTGGCCTGCCCTTCCTGCGTCTCTGCTTCTCTAAGTCTTCCCCAGCAAGGCTGCCCCACAGAGCAACTTTTCCACAGAGCTGCCTGACTTCCCCTTTATCTTGATTTTCTCCTCTCAAAGGCCTATAGGCCTTGGCTGGCAGTGTTATTTTTATCTTTGTGTTACTCCCCTTGGATATTCGGTCCTCTAAGGATCCTGGGGTTTACAAAATCTGGTTCTCCCCTCCTCTGCTAACATTTGTGAAAGTGCTTGGACAGAGAGTACGTTTTTTATGTGGCCCTGGTGCCAAAGCTTCTGCAATTCCAAGCACAAAATAAGGTTACTTGGCTTTTATGGCCACATGGTGTCGCTGTTGCTAACTACCCCACACAGTCCAGTACAGTGCTGGTCTAGGTGTGGCCTATAGGCCAACAGCATCCCTTGGAAACTTGTTAAAATGCAAATCCTCAAGTCTTGCCCCAGATCTAGTCAATCAGAGTCTGGGGGTACAGCCCATGAATCTGTTTTAGTGACTCAAGCATGTTCAGGTTTCAGTAACCCCTGCTGAACAGACACCCACACACTGCAGTATGGATGCCCACACTTTTCCCAGGTCACTGTGGGGACTACCACATCCCATGTGGTTGACTGCCTGAATGCATGCCTGCCTGCCTCCCCTCATCAGATTGCTCCCCTGCAGGTCCTGCCCGACTACCTGAAGGGCCTCTTCAGCAGCGTGCCAGCCAGCCGGCCCAGCGAACAACAGCTGCAGCAAGTGTCCAAGCTGGCTTCACTGCAGCACCGGGCCAAGGACCACTTTTACCTGCCCAATGTGTGAGCACCTGCCCACCTGTCAGCCACCCACCCCCACGTTCCTCAGAGTTGGACATCCCAGGCCTTGTTCATCCCGCTTACGCCAGCAGGCTGTCTGGGAAGGGACTGACCTTGCTGTGGGGCTGAAGTCCTCCAACTCACCTAAAGAGCTGGGCCCCTCCTTCTCCCACAACAGGTTACTTCCAGCTGGTATTAACAGCTCAGAGTAAATTTAATGAAAAAAAGACTTTCAGGACACACACATCTGTCATACAGGAAATACACATGCAGAAACGTTCACCACAGTATTGCATCCAACAGCAAGGCATTCCTTAAGTAAATCCTGGGGTTCTAGGCAGCCTTTAAACTGATGTTCTCAAAGCGGTGATAAATCAGTCCTTGTCAGACTGGGTCTCAGGAATAGGACTCCAGAGAGCTTTTGTTTATGTGGCTCGTATCTATTGATATATATTTACCATATTCAAAATTAAAACTGAGAAACGATTCAAAATATTGATTTATTAACTAATTTAAAAATAAGGATAATAGGCCGCCTGGCGTGGCTCAGTGGTTGAACGTCGACCTAGGATCCAGGAGATTGCTGTTCAATTCTCCGTCAGGGCACATGCCCAGGTTGTGGGCTCAATCCCCAGTAGGGGGCATGCAGAAGGCAGCTGATCAATGACTCTCATCATTGATGTTTCTGTCTCTCTCCTTCCTCCTTCCTTTCTCTATGAAGTAAATAAAACAATTCCTCCTTCCTTTCTCTATGAAGTAAATAAAACTATTTTGAAAATAAGGTCCTGCCTGCCGGGCGTGGCTCAGTGGTTGAGCATCCACCTAGGATCCAGGTGATCGGGGTTCGATTCCCGGTCAGGGCACATGCCTGGGTTGTGGGCTCGATCAGTAACTCTCTCATCATTGATGTTTCTCTCTCTCTCCCTCCCTCTCCTTTCCTCTCTCTGAGATCAATAAAGATATATTTTTAAAAAATAATAAAATAAATAAAAATAAGGTCCTAGCTGGTTTGGCTCAGTGGTTAGAGTGTCGGCCTGCAGACTGAAGGGTCCCGGCTTTGATTCCAGCCAAGGACACGTACCTCGGTTGCAGACTCGATCCCTGCCCCTGGTTGGGGCACGTGCAGGAGGCAACCAATTGATGTCTCTTTCTCACATCAGTGGTTCTCTCTCCCTCTCTCTCTCTCCCCCTTCCACTCTCTCTGAAAAGCAATGGAAAAAATGTCCTCGGGTGAGGGTTAAAAAGAAATAAATAAAAATAACATATTACATATTAATATCAATACCTAATTATAATACTATATAAAGAATAATTATACTACAAATAGCATATATTAGCATTATGTGTTAATATAAATAACTTACGAAAAAAACCTGTATTTTCCAAAAAAATTTAGTGAGAACAGTGGCACTGTTTTCACATGTTGTAAATCTATTTTATTTTATTTACTTATTTATTTTAGAGCAAGGGGAAGGGGGGGAGAGAAACATCTATGGGTTGCCTTGTGAACGTGCACCGACTGGGGATGGAACCCAGAACCTAGGCATGTGCCCTGACCGGGAATCGAACCTGCCATCTTTTGGTGTTCAGCACAATGCTCCAACCAATTGAGCCACCCAGCCAGGGCTGTAAATCACTTTACCACCTGGCTGAATAGAAGACAAATGGATTCTCATATCCGCTCTGCAGTTGGTCTGCTGTGGTCTCATGTCATGTAGCATCTGGTAGACTCCACTGTGCTTGCGAGAGAGCAGGAGGGGAAAAGCAGATAACATCTTCGTGTTATTATGGAAGTGTCTTTGACCTCCCAGGCCCTTGGCCACACTTTGAAAATCCCTGGTGTGAGTAATAGTAAGATAATGTATGTACAGTGTATGTCCTAGTGCATAATGTAGTAAGGGCTCAATATGTAAAGCTCTTTTATGTTATAGTTTTCATTGAAAAGCACAGGAGGCACATAAAAGTATAATATGATCCTAATCCTGGGTAAAAATCACTGAGTTCTTACTCTTTGCAAGGCACTCAGTATGCACTTTATTTTCCCCTTACACAGATGTGGCAACTGAGGCCCAGAGAGGTTACATGGCTTAGCGAAGCTAACCCAGCTAGCAGGTGTGGGGGGTGGGGGACCAGGATGCAAACCTAAGAAGGCCAGGTTCAAATGCCAGGCTCTTACTCCAGCACTACAAAGAAATAAAGATCTCTTGGGGGAGGGGGTGCCCTTGATTTTCTCCCAACCTTTCCCAAGTCTGCAGCCCAGGTTAGCTGGGACTGGCTGGAACTGCAGTTGGTATTTTCCAGATGTCTGTAGAGGCAAAGGAGCTTCCCTGAGGAAGCCAGCATAAGTCAGAGAGAAGGGACTAGAGTGGGGATGGGGGGGCTGATGGCCTTGCAGGGGATGGGGGTCTTGCAGCATTCCTCTACCCCATACTCTGACCAGTGCTGGTGGTGGCTTTGCCTGCCCTGGTATTTCCACTCCTGCCACCACCTTGTCTTTCTCACCCCTCTAGCCTGGGCTTCTCCTTGTGGGTAGGCACTATAAAGGACGAACCCACCTTGGATTCAAGTCTCAGCCCCCCGCCTCAGACTCACTTGGTTACTGTGTGACCTTGGACTAGTCAGTGAACTTCCCAGTGCCTCAGTTCCCTCACCTTCAAACAGGAAGCCTAGTGGAGCTGGCCAGCAGTTAGTACTTTACACCTGTCTTCAACCCATCTGCACTCCCCAGCAGTTAGTCTTCCAGAGAGGCGCAAGGATCGCATCCGTTTTTGCATAATACCTGCAGTGAGGATTGAGTGAGACTGTGCAGAGCATGTGCAGTGACAGGGTCTCAGGACCACTCTTCCTTACACATCCAGACGGGAGGTCCAGCAGTACATCCCGGCTCAGCTCTACCACACCACGGCCGGCTCAGCCTGGCTCAACCTGGTCAGTCAGCACCGGCAGCAGACACAAGCGCTCAGCCCCCACCAGGCCCGTGCCCAGTTTCTGGGTAAGAGTCCAGGGCTGGGGGAGGTAATCATGGGAGCTTTGCTGAGGATGGGGTTTTGGAGGGTGGAGATGAAGGCACCTTTTTCTTTGCACAAAGGTATTTTCAGTGTTAGTCAAGCTGAGCTGCCTGGAGAGAACACCTTTCTAAAATTTTCACCAAGGTGCCACCTAGGCTCTGGGTGGCCCTTGGCAGAGAGAACTGGCAGCCAGGGATAAGAGCTACAAGTGGGGGGAGGGGGCGCAGAGAGACAGGAGGCTGGAGAGGTTTCAGGAGCCAGGAACAGAGGACTCCTGTGCCAGTTGCAGCAGGGAAGATGAGGGCTGTGGCTGTCACTGAAGAGCTGCTCATACTGACTGTCCTCCCACCCCAGGCCTCCTCAGCGCCTCACCCATGTTCGGCTCGTCCTTCTTCTTCATCCAGAGCTGCAGCAGTCTTGCTGTGCCGGCCCCCTGCATCCTTGCCGTCAACCAGAATGGCCTCAACTTCCTCAGCATCGAGACTCACGTGAGTGGCCTCAGCCTGCTCCGCTGCTCACCTGCTTCTCTGAGTCCTACCCCTCAGAGGAGCCGAGATCTCCAGCTGCAGAAGCCCAGCCCCACCACTTACACCTATTTGACCTTGGGCAAGTCTCCACACAGCTCTCTGAGCCTCATTTCCTCGCCTGGAACGTAGGGATAATAGAACCCAACCCACGAGGCTGTTGTGAAGGTAAAACAAGCTAAACACTGAAATAGTGTCTTGGTCTGCTTGGGCTGCCATAACACAGTACCACAGACTGGGGGCTGAAGTCCAAGATCCAGGCACCGGCAGGGTTGGTTTCCTCTGAAGCCCCTCTCCTTGGCTTATAGATGACCATCTTTTCCCTGTGTCCTCACGTGACCAGTTCTGTGCATGCACGTTCCTGGTGTTTTTGTTTTGTCCAAATTTCCTCATAAGAACACCAGTCAGATTGAATTAGGGCCCACTCTAATGGCCTCATTTTAACGTAATCGCCTCTTTAAAGGCCCAATCTCCAAATACAGTCACATTCTGAGGTATGGGGGTTAGGGCTTCAACATATGGATTTGGGGGGACACAAATTAAGTCTATAACAAATAGGACCTGTTACCCCCTTTTTAAAGTTCTTCCAGAAGTGGACCTTGCCATGAGGACAGGGCAAGTGGTTTATTTGGAGGTGGTGCTAGGAAACACTGGAGTGAGGAAGATCAGGAAGGGACATCTCACACACCTTGGGAAGGGTATATTAGCAAGCAAGTTGCCACTGTGGCAAGTGGCACTAGTCCAGCAGGTACTCTGGGAGACGGCATGGAACACACCCCATAGAGGATGCCTTCCGGCCTGGGGTCGGGAGCCACCACGTCCCCATCTGTCATTAATTGAGGCATTAACTTTTTTTTTCATATATCTTTATTGATTTCAGAGAGAGGAAAGGAGAGGGAGAGAGAGAGAAACATCAATGATGAGTCATTGATTGAGCCCGCAACCCGGGCATGTGCCCTGACTGGGAATTGAACCCCGATCACCTGGATCCCAGTTTGATGCTCAACCGCTGAGCCCCCCCTGGCTGGGCTTGGCATTAACTTTCAAGTGCTCCGAGTTTGCTCCTGGAGCTAGAAAGCAAGCTCCAAAGAGGTGCAGGTGTTAAAAACAAACAGGTTTGATGTGAAGGTCAGGGCACCACCTGGATTGCAAGCATTTAGAAAAGTGCCTGGCACATTGTAGGTGTGTGCATCAGTATTTGTTGAATCAGTTTTACAGGTGAGATTCAGAGAAGTAAAGAAATGACTTGCTCCACATCACAGAGCAAGTCACTGGGGAACTGGTACTTGAAATGGGGTGTCCTGCCTCCTATTGATCTGGTCTGCAGGGGAGGGATAAGGGTGGGTGAGACTGTCCCACCCATAAGCTTGTCTGCCCCTTGCCCCCAGGAGCTGATGGTGAAGTTCCCCCTGAAGGAGATTCAGTCGACATGGACCCAGAGGCCCACAGCTAGCTCCAGCTACCCCTATGTGGAGATCGTGCTGGGGGATGTGGCAGCCCAGTGTACCATGCAGCTGCAGCTGGAGCAGGTGGGCCCTGCCCCTAGCACCCAGGCCTTGTCACCCAGCCCCTCCTCACTCCCTTATTTCACTCACTGGGCTCTTCTCTGGGTCTGGCTCCAAGATAGGTCAGCTTCTGGCCAGGCCACAAGGAACATCCAGTCCAGTGCTGCCCCCCCCCACCCTCCAATCCCCCAGTTGGGAGCCCTGAGGCTGAGTCACAGCTTATTCTGGGCTATGAGTGCCAGATGGTAATCATGGCAATACAGTTAGAAACTTACCATTTATTGACGGGACTAATATTTTTTTAAATCTATATAAAGAATTTACACATAATAAAATCCCATGGAATCCTCACCACAGTTCTGTGAAGCAGGCCCTGGTAAATTGAGATCCTACGGTGAGGCCACTGAGGCTCAGGGAGGTAAAGTAACTGGCCCTAGGCCACCCATTTCACATGCCATAAAGCTCGCAGATGCTCTTGGTCTCCTGCTTGCTTACCCCTTCCAGCCTAGGACCTGGTGTTTCTCCTTCCAGCTTCTCATGCTCCTCCTAGGGCCCTGGGGGAGTTGGGGAGGCTGGTCTCCACCTGTCTTCCAACCACTTCTTACCCTAAGGTGAGAGCTGGGAGTGGACTCACCACTGTCTCCTGCAGGGCCTGGAGCTGTGTCGAGTGGTGGCTGTGCACGTGGAGAATCTGCTCAGTGTTCGGGAGAAGCAGCTCACGCTGCCCCCCAGTGAGATCACGCTGCTCTGACCCAGCCGCCAGCCCTACAACTGCCCTCTGCCAGAAGGCTTGCTCTGTGGCCCCAGGGGAGTTACTGGGCCTCTCTGTGCTAGTGACCTCTATAAAGGCCAGAACCTTGGGGGAGACCAAGAGGTGGTAGGAGGAATGACCCAAGTCCCTGGGAACCCAAGACTCATTCAGAGTTGGGATGGAATCAAAATGTGCAATCTTGGGTCAGACAGCAGGAGGAACTTCCAAAGGTGCCCCATGGGGCTTCCTGCCACGTACACACTGCAGGCCCTGGCTCTGACTCCCACTGGTGGCAGGGAAGTCCCAAACCAGTGGCCTGGATTGATGGGTCTAATGTTCAAATCTGCTCCACTTCTCAGCCCCTCACATGTCCTCCTTATTGTCTCCTGCACTGCTGCTCAGCCCAAATTCATGACCTTTGGTCATTTCTGTGCAAATAAAAGGTGCACCTGAGATCCATTCCTCCATGAGTTGCTGGAAAACAAGTCTGAGGGAGGAGGCAGGAGTTGGAGGCCTAGTTGTACCCGACTCATTGCCTATGAACAGCACTTCCAGCAGAGACATGTCTTTGCCTCTCTCTGCAGACCTTTGTGCCCCAACTCCACACTCCTTGGGTAGCCCCAGCCCTAGACCCCCATCACTGGATGAGTTTGCTAGGAATAGATGGAGGGGAGGGGAATGAACATTCCAGAGGAAATGGTGTTTTTTCCCTGCTATATCCCTCAGAGCCTAAAACAATGCATAACACAAAGTAGGCACTTAAAAAATACTGGTCACATGAATAAAAGAATAAATGAATATTAATAGAAAGTGCTGGTGCTTTGGGGAATCTGTGGGGGAGGGGAGCAGTAGATTTGGGAGAGGAAGTCTGGATAGGCATGTGGGGGCATAATTGGCTAGAGCCAGTGTCAGAGGAAGGATTCATTTATTACCTATTAAGCACCTACTGTGTACTAGGCAAATGCTAGGCACTGGAAATTGCTCACATTTAAAAGTATAAACCAAGACAAGGCCTGTAAATGGGAATTAGCTGGATGATGAGGGGACTAAACAGCGTGTGCAGAACCCCTGAAGTGGGCATTACTAGGGGGTGGACATTACTTTTGAATTGTCTCTAGTAATTATTGCCTTATCCGTGAGCCTACTTGTCCTCTTGAGGTTTTTTTCTGGCAGGACTTGAGACTGAAGGCTGGCAGGGGTGGTTTGGGCAAGGCTTTGCAGACCATGTAGGATTTCATCCCAAAAGCCATGAGGAGCCTTCAAAGGTTTTTCAATGGGGGTGGGGCAGTCTGCTCAGATTGTATTCTGAAAAGGTCATTCTGACCACAAAGCAGAGTGCATGTAGGAGGTAGGGAGACCAGAGGGGAGGCTGCTGTAGTGTCAGCTGGGAAATTCTGTGGTATGGACACTGGTGGTGGTGACAGAGTGGACAGAAGTTAACTTGGGAGAGATTTAGGTCCAAGGGGCAGGACTGGGGGATCAACCAGTTTATCCTGAGATGGAAGGTCAAGGAAGAGATGCCACAGGGATGTCCCACTTTCACCACTGCCTTAGGTTGGCTTCCTTCAGAAGTAGCCCCAAGATAAAGAACCCAGTGCACATAGCTGATCTGAGGTGAGGGAAGTGGGGAAAGAGCCACAAAGAGCTACCCCAGCTGCCGTGTCTGTCCAGGTGAGAGTTCAGAGAGAGGCTTTTTGGGTTTCAGAATATGAGCAGGCCAAATGATTGAGGCCACTTGGACCTGGATCCTCTAGGCTGAGCCATCCCAGCTGATGCACATGGAACTGAGAGGAGCCTCCTGGCTGAAGCCTGACCAGAATGCAGATTTGTGAGCTGGATAAGTGACTGAGGTCTCGGTTCTGGGGTACTTTGTTACAGAACATTGGGTAAGCAAAACACTGGGGCTTCTGAGGCATAAGGCTCATGTTTTAACAGCTGTTCTGGTGACTCTGGTGGCATCAGAGAGTTGAGCCCTCTTGAGAGGAGGTAACAATCCCCGTGAGGCAGACTAGAGTCAGGGGTGGCAGGAGAGTCAGACACTGCTGTGTTCCCCAGATACCCCAGGGCTACCACACTGGGCCCCCCTACCTGGCCCAAGACCAAAAAAGATAGAAACTCCAGACAGGTATGGGGAGATCCAGAGCAGAGGGGACCAAGCCCCTGGGTTTACAGCCTACCATGGGGTGAGAACAATACAGGAGAAATGTCTGGGTGGCATGAGAGCCTGAGACAATCTACTGGTGAAGGTTTGAGATTCCGTATGGGTATAGCAGGATGCACCACATCTGTGTGCTGAAAAGTAACCCACAGGACCTTATGGCTGCCCCTGTGTGGGAGAGGGGCTGGACTTGGCCAGGTTCCAGTGTCTCACCACCCTGCCCAGGACCCACAAGGCTCTTCAGGTTTTGGCTGGGTAGTTAAAGGCCCAGGCTGTGGACCCAGAAAAGCCTGTGTTCAAGTTCCATATCGGCTTGGGGACAGTGCCCAGGGGTCCAGAATTCCCCATTCCACGGACCTTGTCACTACAGGACAATCTCCACCTCCCAACAGGGACTGGTAGGACCCTCAGGTCAGAAACTGAAGCCCAGACTCAAGGTCAGCAATCTCCTCTGCTTAACACACATTTCACCTCATCCTCGCCACTATATGAGGTGGGCACTGATATTATTCCCATTTTACAGACCGGAAGACTGAGGTTCAGAAAGAAAGTCACTTGCCCAGCATCGTACAGCCTGTCAGGATGTCAAAATTCAAATCCAGAGTCCGGTGCTTATGCCCCGAAGAGCTGCGGGAGGGAGAGAAGGTGGGGGCGCTGCTCGGAAGCAAAGTGGCCCGAGTTGAGGTGGAAGGCAGACGCAGAGGCCTGATCACGAACCCTGAGACGCATTTCATTTCAGTGAGAATCTGGGCAGGTTGTTCGGAAGAAGTGAACTGAGCCTCAACAAATCAAAGATGGGTGGAAAGGAATCGGTATTCCAGGTGAAAGAAACAGCTTGGTAAAAACCAGGAGGTGTGTCAGGGTACGTCTGCACACCTGGCCGTGTCGGGGCGGCTGGGGCTGTGTTCACGGAACGGGGACGAAAGGGTCTTCAACAAAGGCCTTGAACGCCAAGCAGAGATGAACTCTACCCTGGGAGGCCGAGCAGAGCCCTCCGGGCCGGCCCCAGCCCGCCCGAATCGCCGCGCCCGGCCTCAGCGCTTCGAAACTCCAGCACTGTCCTCGCAACTACTGCCCTGGCCTGAGCCCGCGGGTCCCGAGCTCGCTTCGGGCGCTCCCGGGAGACCTGCCCCCACGCCCACCTCCCGCCCCAAGGAAAGCTAAGCCAAACCCGGAGCGTCCCGCGGCTGCGCGCGCACGCACCCGAACGTGACTCGTGGAACGTCCACGCCACGCGGGGCCGGGGGGGCCGTGAGGAGCCCCATCAGGGCGTCTAGAGTCTGCGAACATCGTCGCCTCGATTGATACCTCGGACTCGATGCTCTCGACGGCAGTTTCGGAGGTTCCCTTAAGCGTCTGAGGGCTTTCTTCCGGTAGGGAACCCCATTCAGGCACTTACTTAGCCACCCATTCACCCTTCAGGGGTCCTCGTAACCCTCCCCACCGCTAATCAGATGACGGATGCAGTAGCCAAGGCGACCGTCTGATTGACGGGCATGATTACCAACCAACTTCCGGAAGCTCCCGTCTGGGTCCGCCCGGCGCGTGGCCGGTGGCCCATGAAAGAAGTGAAAGCGCCAAAAGGGACGGTAACCGGACAGCCTAGGTGGTTGGCGGTTCCGCGGTGACTGCGCGCTGGGGGCTGAGGCGTTTTCGGACAGTTGGACAATGCCGTGACGCAGCATAGCGATAGAGTTGGCACTGTGAGCGCACCCCGGTGGAGGGAGCCCTTCGGTCGCGGAGGTGGCGCGGCGAGGAAGGAGGTTGCTCTTCGAGGGTGCTCCTTTAGGGTCCTTCTAGTGTGGGGGAGGGGTGGCGGACCACGGGTGGTCCCTGTCTGCGCTTGCGCCTGCACCTCTGCTGACCCGGCCCTCAAGCACGCGCATGTCCGCTACGCGTGGAGCCGCGGTGGCCAGCAGCACTGCGCGTGCGCATTGAAGAGCCTGCTGAGGAGCGGCGCAGGCGGACGTCGGGCGAGCGGCGCGTGACGTCGTGAGGAGCGCTTTAAAGTGCGGGCTGGGCCGGGCGTCTGAGGGTCTAGCCGGGAGACGAGCCGGTCCTCCGCAGCGGCCCTCCGCGGCATGAGACGCTGCTGGCGCCCCTGCCCCGCTGGACGTGGAGAAGGTGGAGGAGGAGGAAGCCCCGTAGCCGCCACCGTTGCATGACTCGCCGCCCCTGAGGCTCGACCTCGCGTCTGGCCCCTCGACTCCCCCCGCCAGGTCCTCGTATGGGGGCCTGGCGCTGAGGACCCCCTTCCCTCCGGGGGCCCCGGGGCACGTCCCCCGAGAGCCATGCCCGGCCGCCCTCTCCGCCCCGAAGGACCCTAGAGCAGCGTCGCGGGGCCAT